TCCTACAGCGACTGAAGTTGCTGCACCCCTACCCCTTACTATGCCCCTTCAATCCCCTTAGTTGCAATGTCAACATGAGATCGGGGTATCCATCACAGGTCTCGAAGATGAGTGTGACCGATCACAAGGGAATATCTTTCCGAATAGGCGAAGTCGTACTCAATGCCAACAGGTAACTGGCTCTGAGGAATTAAATCGGGTGATTCTGTGAAGTCCAATGGGATGATATTGCGTACGCTGACAATGACAAATTAAAACATCGAGGATGACCACTGGTTCCCTATATTGCTGCGCCCTGATGACCTAAAGACGGCGGTCAGACCACGGCGCATATACAAGTATACACCATGTTTTATTGTAGATATTATGCCTCTGTCAGATATACTTAGAAACATAAGTGGCACCAGCCCCCAGAAACCTTACATCCCTGACCGTGAGGCTGCTACGGGGTTTAAATATAATTAAGAATGATGTGGTAGAGAGCTCAGAGGTCCATCAGGGATAGATATAGGAGTACTGCAGAAAAGCACAGGAGAATACGACATGAGTGATAGGGAGGTTCTTGTACTGTTAAATTTGTGTGTTTAAACTTCACGGGATGTCACAAGTAATATGGTGGCACAAAGATTTCTATGCTGACTGATTACTCAAGGGAACCTGTTTCACAACTGCAAGGCCGTGCTTGCATACCTTGATGACCTGTATCTTAGTGGTTCTTTCGATGAACCAAGCCGCTTCTCGACCATACATCTCAGGAACGGCAAGAAGAAGAACAATAGAGTGAAAGAAGAGAAGGAAAGTTGCACTTATCGCGGTTATTGATGCGAATATACCCCTAGATGAGTAATCCTAATAGTGAGCAGACCCTAATAGGCCCTGCATGCGTAGTGACGCACGTGTGACCGCGGGAGATTACATCTGGTAAGGCCAAAAGCAGTGGGTTGATGTTTCAGGAGCTCTCCTGAATCTGAATGAGCCAAGGCTGCGCTGCCTGACGAACCTGAGATCGGGCTTGGGATTTGCACTGCCAAGGCATGAATACGAGTCTGTACAACAGACTCAACTTCGTCTGGCACAGGGCAGAATGCCAGCCTCACCCAGAGGGGCTTCAGATGATTTTCAAAATAGTAACTTTAGGTAATGATCCATGTCATTAATAGTGGAATGCTATTCAGGAGTACCCCCTCAACCGTTGTATTTAACTCAAGTACATAACCAAACTTCCATACTTTCAATGAAGGCCTTACAGCTGCACCAAGGGTTCCATGTATCTCTTATATAAGACCGAGAAGATGGTCATCATAGGTATGCTTCGACTAGAAAACTCACGGAAGAAGTGAGCTTTCCCATAACTACAAAATGTGAGACAGAACATCTCTTCCAATAGGAGACAGAGAAAATCTTCGATCGATATTCAATATCTGAATTAGGGTTCCCCAAAACCTATTTTCGACACCGCTCCTACCTACTATTTCACATCAATTCCTTGACCCATTCAAATGACGGGGGGGAATGCCCTAATGGAAACCGAATGTGAAGTGGTACCAATTGTGACAACATAAAATTATAAAATATTAAAAGACAGCACATTTTACGAGCTGAAAGTTTGGTTCTACCGATGTACAGCTATGCTTTAATGTGAGCACCTTAGAAATATCACACTCTACTATAACCTGAAACAGAAAAGGATAGGAAGGGGTTTGTGACATCGTTATTCTTCTGCACATTTCTCCAACTGGGAATTATAAACTCCGTGGCATGATATATACAAACGATGGCGTATTCCATCAATAGCCCCATAAGTAAAAATGGAGCAATTGGGCCAGCCAAATTGTTCCATGGAAGATCGGATCCATGAATAACGGAAAGGCACAGGTAGGTAAGGCGAACTATAATAATGGGCAAGGCCAAAACCATGGATTTGGGCACCTATCGCATGCTGGTTAGGCCATTTCGAAATGATTTCTCTGTTGCACGACTTACAGTGCCTACCAATACTTCTGGTACCGGAGATATCTTGGCAGTTGATCCATAAATAGGTCTGCACGGCTAACAGACAAGCGATAAAGACTACCACGATGCTGTGTCCAGCTTTGACAAGTTTGACGCCAATGATAACATCGCTAGCACTATCGCTTCCCTCGAGACATCCGCCTACAATCTGAAGGCAGAGGCCCACAAGAAGATGATGCTTGAGAGAAGTAAACATTGACGGACTCAGAAGTCCACCTTTTCCTCGTAAGATAATTTACTTGATGTTAGAAAGCTGATCGCCCAAGTCATGTTTCTGCTTATATTTGACTGATATATGAGCAAGATGTCTGAGCATTTCTGTGCATCAGGTGCCCACGTGCCCGTAGGCAAGATAAAGGTGGCCTACTACGTAATCGCGATGTAAATTGAATAAAAATCCGAAATTCACAGGATATATGGTTACCTGATATAGCCTTCTCAGAAACACACTTTCTCCCCTCTTCCCGATCACTCTACATCATTGTTCAGCCAGACCGTCAATCACACTGCTCATATGGCGTCTCCAAGCTTTCTTTTGCCTAGCCTTGTGCTGCATCCTATCGCCTTTGTTGATCCCTCCCCTTCTCAGTGGCGCCTTGCCTCCAAAGTCGAAGAGTACGCGTATGCGATGGAGGAGGGTGAGATGAAGTACGGATTACGTGTTCCGTGTACTCGGGCGCTCTTTCACTGCGAAGAGGTTGGTAATCCCGGCCACTAAGGGTATGTATTACCCTATATGCAAATCCATTAAAACATGACGATGGCATCCTTGCCGATTCTTACCACCACTAATTAAACATCGATATATCATCGGCAGGCCCACATTCCCAGTGACCCAGAACAAGACAAGATGGCCCCTTTCAGATTTCTCCTACCCAGTTCGTCGAGATGTTGACCGCTATATGAGCGGTTTCGGCCAGAGATCCGATATGAAACACGCACTGGTGGAGGCTAACCGCAGCAACTTGGCTGTATGTATGATTTTGGAGAACGTCTGTGCTGTACTCCAGTATCCAACCCATTGCGGAGTCGCACACCTGTCGCAGAAAACTGGTTTGGTTGTATGTCTAGATAAACCCATATACAACCTTGGTATCTTGCATATATTCGGCGACTTGGCCTACACACTCGTGTTGACGTCCTCCAGGCCCGCTGTCAGAGGTGTCACTAAGCCTGACTCACCTAAGAAATGTCTATGCCTTATATGGTTGCGCAAGGCGTTTGATAAATCATGTTTCTGCACCCAGGGAGTTTTAAGCTCTCCGATAAGTCCTAGGTCGCCTGTGGCCTGACTTGCTGCCGCTATATCCGGGATTTCATCATAGTTGCTCGTTGGCGCCCGGAAGTCTCTTACATGGAGATCTATCTTCTACGAGAGGAATACCGCTGACATCGTCTGATCAATATTGCTGGCCCCAGCGGCCTTGGACGCTGTTCCATCTCCGATGGCGGTTTGCTCAAACTGGACCTTCCAGCTCTGACACCTCGCCAGACAACTGTTGGTGGTCAACCATCTGCTGATTCCATTGGAATTTTGAGTGCGTCACCTCAACATCTTGTTCGAAGTTGGTCTAGGGAAACGGCGAGGTGACTCGTCGCACGTTCGTATCCTGACGCAGGACGCCTTTCGAGAAAATCAGGATTGCGTCTGGGAAGGACTTCGAGTAGAGTAGGCATGTTTAACACCGGGGTGTTAAGGACGGAGAAAGGGATAGTTTGAGATGTGCAAGAACCTTTCTATATGCTCGCAAGTGCTGGGAAATCCCTGACCTTCTATATCAGTGGGGGGTCCAAGTGATAAATCTTAGCTTATACATTTTTCGAAACGCGAAAGTAGGACGACAAGGTCGTTGTGACCCAATTCATCAGGCTGTCCCATCACCATAATCATCCACTCTGGGTGCAGTATGCCATCGGGAATGACAAGCATCAATGAAAGCGATAGGACCGATCATAATGACAGCGCAATGAAGCTTTGGATACGCCACTCCAGGCAGGAGGTTGATGGCGAGAGCCGGGCTAAATAGTGATGAGAAAGCATTATGAAGAGGGGAGAAGGTTCCTTTATAGCTTTCAAGAGTGTCACGCAAACAGACTACATATCAGGTGAATTGGGAGGTATGATCCATTTTCACCTCTCCATCACGTAGTGAAACAACTATACTTCACCCAGGAAGATGGAAGCTGCCTGATACACAGCAATAGTCAGTTTTCACGTTCCTAAACGACCAATTACCCAAGGCCTAAGCCCAAAAGGCCCCAATGTAGAGCAGCCCTAAACGCAGACATCACCAAGTTGAATATCCAAGGTCAGCTCGATACGCTTGGTAGTACTTTCAATGCTAGCCATCTACCATCGCTGCTGTACTGACAACGTACCAGGGAATTACAGTATGGCTAGTTAACATTAACATATAGTGAGTCGTCTATAGCTCAAAGACCTGTACAAAGATAGAAGAAACGTATCTATATTCACATCTGTCAGATTGAATGGTATACGCGAGTGTATTCAATGACAATGCTACAGACCTCATAGGAAAGATTCTATGTCGGCCACCTTGTGATATACGGCGCTGAGTCAATTCAGAGCATACGCCACTATGGACAAGGTGCTAAGTAGAGAGTTTGGAGTTGCTGTTGAGCTCCTGATACACATGTAGAGTATATAAGAGTATGAAGTTAAGCCGGCATTGAGTATGGATATCGCCAGCGTTCTACTCATCAATGAAGTCAAACACCTGTTGTATTGCTATAGTAGAAAAATATAAGCTATTCGAGGATAGGTTCGTGTTCGGCTCTGAAAATAACAAGAGCAATAACAGTAAAGTGATAAAAGAATAATGACGAAGATTGATAGGAGAAAGAAAAATTCGGAAAGAATAAGAATAACAAGAAGAGTAGGAGAGACTGGTCTTGGGAGATGACAAGGTTCACTGTAACTGATCTCCTTCCCGGCATTGCCTCTGGAGTTGCCAATTTCAAGGCCCCTAGAATAATATCAGCATGGCTAGTTGTGCACCAATAGTATTATCTACACTCACGAGGAACTTGAGACGGCCATCATTATTCTGGATCTTATCGGACAACATCATACCCTGGCGGCCTCGAGAGCCGCCATTTATCATTGGTAGATCGGCGCAAAGTTTGGGGCCCCATGGAGTTTCCTCTAGTGCAACGTTCCTTGCAGAATGAGTGAAATTAGATCCACCCCAGATGAACCAGCCTTTGTCGGTCAGCACTCATGTAGTGGGCTATACAGAGCGGTAAGGGGGCATTACCGTCAGTATTTCCAATGTGATCATCTAAACGAATCTTCCGGGGAATATATTTTCCTTGGATATTGCGAACTTCAGCCAGCAACATCGTGTGGCCATGCTCAGGCACGATATGGATGTTCCGACAAGATTGATGAAATGACATGATGGAAAAAGACAGTCAGTGGGGGCAGGATACGTGCAGTGCCTCTGAAACTATATAGAGTCGTTCGTGAACGTTCGAATATGCGGAAGGATTTGTAGAGGTCGACTGCTTTTAAAGTACCACCTAGTATGCTTGGTGCATAGACAGCCGGCTATCTCGTTCTATGCGCATTGGTGCCCTACGAAATGGTTGAAAAACGGGCTCCGACGCAGAGTGACGCAGCTCGTCCTTATTGGTGTCGTGTGGACGAAGGACTACTTCCAGCAGTAGGTGATAGGTCATAATTTCTTATTCTGGCAGCATTGGTTCAATTTGCTTCCTGGGAAATACGAAGGTCAATAGGAGTTCACCTACAGAGTACAACTTCAAAAGGATGATTAATCTAACTCATAGTATACCTATCCCAAAGATGGCATGGCCTTCTTGCTCAACCGTTAAGGTATGTAGCTCTCAACATTGCAAAAGCTGGCCAGGAATACTGAGGCGGTTAGAAATTGTTTTGCAGCTATGTGGAAGTTGGTCTACTAGGTTTTAGTAGGCGAAATGGGCGTGGCCATGTGCCACACCATATCCGAAGCCACGTAGCAACGCTAGAGTTAGTTAGCATAGAGCTGAAAGCTCACGATATGTATTCGGCCTCACTATGAGACCACAGATCGATCAAAGCTTTAATGACTTGTTTGTTGGTCCTTGAAATGGCCAACTCAGCGAGCATGTCTGCTAATCCACCAACTTCTTGAATGGGATTCATGCCTTATCAGGCATCCACGGTTAACCACGGTCAACCACGGTCAACCTAGTTTTCCATCTTAACCTACCTAGGTTGTTGGAAGGGGGAAGAGTCATGTAATTGACAATGAAATGTCTTGGCTGCACTTGGACAATTGCCTATGTGTCTACTCGAGAGCCTCGGCGCATACCCACCAGGATCCACGGTTACATCCTTCCCGTCAGCCCTAATTTGAAATGGTACCATAACAATCTCACATGCATTGAGGAGGGGCATTTGTGGAGCTTAGTGCAGCATTCCCATGTACTTCGTAGTACTCTCATTGGGTGGTCTTGATAAAATCTATTTCTTTGTTTACTACTATTATGATAGTAATAAGTACCGTCCACATGTCTTCCTTTTCGTTTCAACAAGTCACTTGCGACGCTCCCAGCTCGATTTTTTTTACATTCTCCAAATCTGCTCACAGTACAAAATGGCTGCTGTATATGATTTTGTTGTTATTGGCGGAGGTACGGCTGGCCTAGTGATTGCTTCTCGACTCAGCGAAGACCCCAGCACCTCTGTGCTGGTTCTCGAAGCAGGCGCCGACTTGACAGCTGATCCCCGCGTGAACATTCCCATCTTTTATGCCGCACTACTTGGATCCGACGCCGATTGGAAATTCCACTCTTCCCCACAGGTAAGGGCCGTCTCTATCTCGATAAAGGGTGTGGGCTTATTGCTTTTACAGCCAGGCCTCAATGGCAGAGTGCTTGGTCTCAACCAGGGCAAGGCACTCGGAGGATCCAGTTCATTAAATGCACACGTCTTTGTTCCTCCTTTCAAGGGAGTTATTGACTCATGGGAGGCACTCGGTAACCCCGGATGGAATTGGTCCATGTTAAAGGACTATTTCTCCAAGGCCTACAGCAGTCCCACTGTAGCACAGGATGCCAAAGAAGGTCTGGCAATTGAGGACTGGCCTGAATTGAACGACGCGAAAGGCCCGATCCAAACATCCTTTGGCAACACGACGCATCCTATTCGCAAGGCATGGGCCGAACTGTTCCGCAGCAGAGGGAAATACAACGCCGGGGATCCGTTCATCCACAGCTCTGTAGGCTCATTCAGCTGCCTTGCTAGCATCGACTCGGAGGGCAAGAGGAGCAACTCCGCCTCAGCCTATTATAAGCCTGTCGAGCTTCGACCCAATCTCCACGTTCTCACGAACTCACTTGTTGAGAGAGTCCTGTTTGACGAAAGCAAGTCCCCCAGGGCTATTGGAGTCCAGTACAGTGTCAATGGTGCCTCCCAAACTGTTCAGGCAAGCGGCGAGGTTATACTTGCCGCTGGCGCATTTCAATCCCCCAAAATCCTCCAACTTTCTGGAGTTGGTGGAGCAGAGCTTCTTAAGAAACATGACATCGATTTAGTCATGAACCTTCCCGGAGTTGGGCAGAACCTTCAAGGTATGTAAGCAGCTTCTGATGTAGTACATTCAAAACCTTTGGGTTGTTGATGTTGATTTGACTGTCAAATAACACGAAACCATTTCCCTCTTCGATGTATACTCGCTTTGGGGACGGATATAACTAACATCTACTATATCTAGATCATATGATATCGTACACCGCATTTCAAGCAAAGGCGGAACTTGAGACTAAGGACTCTCTGGTAAGGCAAGAGGCTGAGGCCCTCGGCCAGGCAATGCAGGAATACACTTCCACGCAGTCTGGGCCCCTTGCTTCACTCGGAGTTCATACCTACGCGTATTTGCCTCTTCCTCCACAGGACCGAAGTGCTCTCCAGGCATTATTTATAAACTACGCCCCCGAAAACTCACAAGAGCACAGGGCGACACGCGCCTATTACGACATCGCGAAGACAACGGTTCTTGATTCCAAGCAACCATCAGCTGCCTACCTGTCCGCCTTAGGGCAGACGAATTATGCCAAGGACCTCAATGATGAGACTATTCCAGCTGCTTCGCCTGGAAAGTTTGTCACGCTTGGAGTAATGCTCTCTCAGCCGCTTTCCCGCGGAAGCGTTTATATGTGAGTGAACCCCTCCGCCCAACAAACCGTATATTCACGAAATCTGACAAAAAGAGCACAAGTACCTCCATCAATCCTGAAACCCCTCCAATCATTGATCCAGGTTACCTGTCGAATCCTCTCGATCTGGAAGTCATAGCACGGCACTTGCTCGGTATCAAGAACTTAGCAGAGTCACCTCAGCTTGGGGAGCTGCTCGAACAGCCACTGAAGTTCCGTGACCCAGCTGCAGATTTCCGGGGAGACTTAGATGCTGCGAAGAAGTATGCCCGGGAGAATTTAGTATCCATGTGGCACTTTGCGGGGACCTGTTCCATGCTGCCTCGCGAGAGAGGCGGAGTGGTGGATTCCAATTTGAGGGTTTATGGTATCGAAGGACTGAGGGTTGTGGATGCGAGTGCTATCCCGCTTATAAGCACGGCGAATCTGCAAGCCACGGTGTATGCATTTGCGGAAAGAGCAGCGGACCTCATCAAGCAGGACTGGAACAGCGAGTAAATAAGACGTTAGAGAATGTCTACACACACACATTAGGTTAATTGGAAAAGAGGTGAGAATGGGGAGACCGCCTAATCACCCAGGATTCTCACCCTCCGTCGCGTAATTCGCGGGTGATCAGTCGCGCTCCAGACATTCCTTCCCCTTCGTAGAATCTTCTGACAGTGCAATCTTTCCCTTCAATCGGCCAACGCAAATCTCGGTATTACTCGACGGGGGATAACCTGTGCAATCTAGAAGCGCAGCCCGAGGCTGCCATTAAGCTGACTAAAGCCACTTGTGCGCTGCTGAAGTATAGCGTAGTGCGTAACTATGTGACCTTCGCTACATCATTTCCTAAGCCGACCTGGCCTTTTTTTTTTTTTTTTTTTTTTTTGCTTGCTACTTCAAGTTCGCACCATGTCTGTTAGGTACCGTATGGAGTCTACGAACTTGACAACGCCTCCAAATAGCTGGAAAGTATGCCAGTCAATGTAGCTGCACGAGCCATAAGATATGCGCAGCCCTCCCAAGCTGATAAATACACGCACAGTATACATTGGATGAAGTGTGGAGGCATGTGGGGAAACGTAACTGACCGCTAGTGGACTAGTAGCTGCTTGGCTGCGCTGCACAGCCTCACTTCCAGCTTCCTGTCATAAATATTGTGCAAGGACCTCTGCCAAGAGCCGACTTCCGTTGTGACCTCCAGGATACAGGTGCAATAGAATTGCACTTCTACTAGTGTTCTTATTTGTGCTAAGAATTGCATAAGAAAATTTGGACGTGCACACTTTAACTGGTGCCTCCGAACATCATGCCCCTTTCCAGTACCTGTCAGAATTGTGCCAAGTCCAAGGTCCGGTGTGTACGGAATACTGCAGAATCAGATATCTGCTCTCGGTAATGGCCCAAGAAAGCTAAGGCGGTCTATGTATAGCTTATTGAGATTGTATAGGTGTGCACGGTTGAACAAGCAATGTACATATCGTGAGACCGGTCGGCGGTTTAAGGGCTTCAAAAAAGACCGGTACGCAATCATCGTGCAAGTATTGGCATATAATATAACTCACTTGACAGTGCAGGCAGATAGAAGCTCTTGAGTCAAAGATTAATGAACTCATGACTAACTCCGAATCAACTCCAGCAAACCCAACAGTCCTTGAAAGTGCTATATGCAGTCCAACTGGCGAAGAAACTGACAAGGACAGGATGGACGTTATTGCACGCGGTCTACTAAATATGGAAACTGCCCAGTCTTTCATAGATATTTATAAGACGGAAATGGCGTTACATTTTCCGTTCGTTGTTATCTCACCGCAGGTCGCTGCCGCAGATCTTCGGCAAGAAAAGCCATTTCTCTTCTTAGCTTTACTCGCATCTGCGGCATACTCCAATATGCCACTGCAGAGAGTGCTAGGTAAGGAGATCAAGAGAATCATTGCTTCTCGCATGATTATGCGCGGAGACGTTTCATTTGAGTTGCTACAGGGAATGCTGGTCTTTCTGGCTTGGTAACTAGCTTCGAACAACCTATAAAGCCTACCCCCTAATTATGCTTGACAGGTCCCATTATCACTCGCGACCCCATCGATATACGCAGTTTCTACAGCTGGCTATAGGTCTTCTGGTTGAGCTGCGGTTGGATCGACCACCACAAACGAAAACATGGAAAACAGCACTTAGATTTGATAAAGAATATGCACTCGACGATGAAAACTATGTTCGCCCATCCTGGGGCCTTGAGGAGCAGAGAGCCGTTGTTGGATGCTATTACCTGTCATCCACGTAAGTTTCCTCTTGTCGTAAAACACCGACGTTACTGAGACAAGATCTAGCATTTCCATCCTTCTACACAAGCCGTCTTGCTTCCCAAATATAGCTCCATATCTCGAACAATGCTGCCAGTCTCTACACAATGAAGGTGACCTCGCTCATGACAAGCACATTATGCACATTTTCCAATTGCAGGTTATTGCGGAAAAGATTAACAATCTGTCTTGGAAACATGGCATCGAGCTGGTTAGCACGAGCTCGGCAGCAGAGCTATATGTCAGTAACATTAAATCTGACTTAGATAGATTACGCGGCCAGCTTCCTGTTGACTTTTATGAAACTCGTGAGTATCCCCCTAAACCCGCCTTTAACGTATGAGGTAAGCTGAGAATGGCGCTCTTGGACTGTTCAGCGGTTATGGCTATGCAGCTCTATACAACAGAGCTATGCTTGTACCAAGTCAGCATTTCTCAGCAGAGCACACTATCTTCTAGGTCGGCATGTTCCATAGTCTCTGAGACCTGGTGGAACGAGATCTTCTGTTCTGGCCTTACTGCGGCAGATAATATTCTAAATATGTACATGGAGCTACCGATAGGGTGCGAACAGGGGTTCAACAACACACAATGGGTACAAATGGCTTTCTGCATCCTGGTTGCTTGTAGGCAAATTGTTGCAGCTTCACGGATGGGAAAAGCAGCCCTAATTCCACAGAGTCGTACATGGCCGGAAACTCTAGGAAAACTGCGGCAGCGCCTAGCAGCGTTATCTACAACGCACGTGGACCTGGATGGCGATCGAGACGTCTTTGTCGACTTTGAGAAACGCGTTGCTCGCATCCAGGGCTGGTTTTCTTCCAACTTCGAAAACCAAGAAGCAACCTACCCTTCTCAGCGCCTTGCCGCAAGACAAAATGTTGGCCTGGATACCACACCAGGGCTGTCGTATGACGCTACAATTGGACAGTTAGACATGCCCGGGGATCCGTCATTGACTGGCTATGATTTCCAATTAGCTGCAGAATTCTTCCTTCCTCCCAATCTGGACATGATGACTGGTTGGATATAACAAGTTGTCTCGCCTTATTCAACCTTCGGAAATTGAACGGGGACGTACCTATATCTATGCTATCCCGTACTTGATTGGGGTCACGGCGGTTCTATTCTCTCCATTCTTTCTATTTAATACTTTCCTTCTTCCTACATTGGCTAATATTGTTTCCTAATGCTAGTTTGTGTGTAAGGCCCCCCATTTTGTGAGGCTGTGTTAGTGTGTGTGTGAAGGCTTGTTGCATCTCCGATCCGATCTTCCTAATGTTGGGGCCGAAATACCTCAGGGTTTGTACATGTTCCATCTCCGACCCGACTCGTAGAAAATAAATACCTAACTCAGGGAACCATCATAACGCTGTCAACACGAAGCATCAAAAGTATTATTGCATATCAAAATGTCTAAATCACATTTTACTATCTTTTTCCCCGTCCTTTGTCTTATTCATTCCGTATCTTCATTTACTCCCTGCCCACTCTTAGGGCCGGCATTCCCAGCATTCACGCTCGACAAGAACTCGACGACATTGACATCTGCCCTGGCAAACCTCACCGGGCAATTCGATGAACTATATATCCAAGGGTCTGGTTCTCACGGAGAAGTCTATCCCAATACCACATCGTTCAGTGTATCGCTTTTCTCCACCAATCAGGGAAGTGCCAGTGCAGATCCATTCTTCTTCGATTATCATTACACTGCTCCTTCACTGCGCAACTCATCCAGCCAGATTCAACATGTGAATCAGGACAGCATCTACCGCATCGGTGGACTTACCCAGATCTTCACAATCTGGACTATTCTTGTTGAGGCCGGGGATACCATCTGGAATGATCCTGTGACGAAATATCTTCCTGCACTAGCCGAAACTACGGAGAGTGCGAATGTAACGCAGGATCCTATTCAATATGTGGACTGGAAGGATATTACTGTGGGCCAACTAGCCAGCCATATGTCAGGCCTGCCTAGGGACTGTGAGTACTCCTAACATAACAATATTACAGCTGGTACCGACCTAATCAACCTACTTTAGACTGTGTGAATGGCATAGAGAAAGAGGGTTACAGCATCAATGACGGCTTGCCATCGTCCGCTGGCACTGGTGGTACTTGCACACGGAGTAATTCATCTCAAGCCGGTATGACAATAGCCCTCTCCATAATACTATATCCAAGTCTAATACATCTGCTCTTCAGAAACCCTCGGCACTTTAGCTCATCTTCCGCCAGTTGCTCCTCCTGGGGTAACCCCCATATACTCCAACGTTGGATTCCAGATTCTAGGCTACATCATAGAAAAGGTCACGGGCCAACCATTCAACGATGTTCTCAAAAGTCGCATCCTCCAGCCACTCGCCCTCACTAACACCAGCCTGCACACCCCTTCAAGGAACTCAGCCGGTATCATCCCAACAGACCCCAAAACTAGTGGTTGGTCCACTCAATATGCAGGAGACGCACCGCAAGTCCTCCGCCCCAGATTGAATCCCTAGAACCCTACTAATCCGAAATACAGGGCCCTCGCGATGTACTCAACAATCACCGATCTCTCCACCGCCGGAAAGGCAATCCTCAACTCAACCCTCCTAACCGAGGCTCAATCAAACCGCTGGCTGAAGCCGGTCACCCACACGTCCAACCCAGCCAACTCCCTCGGCTACCCCTGGATCATCTACAGCAGTGGAGACTACCCCGACACCTCTATGATCGACATTTATACCTACTATAGCAGCATTGGACAGTACAGCTCCTACATAGGTCTCGTGCCAGACTATAACGTCGGGTTCGCCGTTCTTGCAACCGACAGCGTCTCCGCGCCGGACCTGAATGCGCACGCTGATATCATCGGCGATGTTATCTTGCCTGCGTTGATGAAGACGGCGGTTAAGCAGGCCGGTGCTCGGTTTGGTGGCGAGTATAAAGCTTCTTCTGGGCTTAATTCGTCGATTACAGTCTCTGTTGATAGGTTGCCTGGTATGTTCGTCGACAGGTTCGTCAGCAATGGGACAGATTTCAGGGAGACCCTGGCTTCGTTGATTGGGGTTAAGGACCCGGAGGCGTTGAGTATCAGGTTGTATCCAACCGGCCTGGTTTCGAGCACGGAGTCAGGTGGCTCCAGGGTGGCGTTCAGGGCTGTTTTGCAGGATAAGAATGAGCTTGCTGATGCTGGGACGCCGACTTGTGTTTCGTGGATGGATGTGGATAAGCTAAAGTATAATGGTCGTGCCTTGGATTTATTTGTTTTTGTGCTCGACAGTGATGGGAACGCTGTTGGATTGGAGGTTCCTGGCTTGGTGCTGCAGTTGAATAGGGAGAATTAGGTTGACGCGAGTTATCTGTGTCCCTCGTGTCTGGATTCAGTGGGGTACTAGCTATGATCGTGGAGGTGCTCTGTATAGACAATAGAGGGTATTAAAATTGTACACTCCGGGTCGCTTTTCTGGTATTTAGATTAATGTATCTACATCTCAAGGGTCATTTACGTGCCGGGTGTAATACCCCAAACTGCTCAGGCTGTCTTCTCCATCCACCCAGTCCAGGGGTCATATGTCATGCTCAATATGCTACCAGCTATCACTTGAGGACTAAGTAGAATTATGATAGTATTACTCGTCAAGGCACCATACAACGACGCTCTCTGTAAGACGTAACTGCTCGCTTATTGCAGCAGAATCCCGACCCATGATTGTTTAAGAAGCACGATATATATGTGAGATGGTCTTGTTTCTACTAGTCAACCTGACTAAATTATCCGATAACATCGAAAATGAACGAGGCGCGAGAATTACTTGCCTTGGTGGACCTAGGAGAAATATATTTAACTTGTCCACAAAACTGCAAAAAAGTCAGATACATTTACCCAAGGATTCAGACACAACACGACGTCCGCCATATTGATCCTAGTTATTTTACGACTATTTGAGGACGATTGTGATCTACCACGCTGCGCCTAAGACAAATTACGAGAATCTATGCATCAACGACATATTTCAGGTAAAACGAGTATTTCATAAACTAGTCATGCAGTAAACTTATATACAATCCCTATTTAAACAGTCTGGAAATGCGAAGGTTTTGGAAATCCCATGCATTTATGTCCTCGTACCGGCAAGGGGTTGAAGGCGTGATGAACTCCTTGAAAGGGAACAGTGACGCCGAGCGGTTCGGCTTCGCAAAGTATGCAATGGAGTACCGCTCAGGAATGACTGCCTCTGTACCAACCTTAACAGAAGGCGGGTATGTGACACGGTGGCACGCAGCGCGGAAAGTATCGTTGGTCAGTCGCTGCATCGAGTCGCCAATATTTAGAATGATCTCTGTCTTGTCTGCTGACTCGATACCGCGGAAGACACCAGGATTTTGCTGGTCTTCGACCTGAAGGCCCCCAACGGAGTCCTGGAACAGCATGGTGATGCTGCCAAAGTCGGTGTGCTCGGCGATACGTGTCGCGGTGCCGTCGGCCAGTTCTGATGCCGGAACTTCTGGGTAGTGAAGGATGCGGAACTCGTTCTCGGCTTTGTTGTGCAGGGCTACCATTTGGTTTTCGTCAACGCCGAGTGCCTTCGCAAGAGCAGCGAGAATCTCGAGCTCGAGCTTGAAGCATGTTTCGTAGAAGTCTTCCATGAACTTGCGGAAACCTGGGAGCTTCTCTTCAGGTACCCAGATGTTGTCTACGAGCTCATCGCGAGGTGAGCCGAAGTCGACGGTTTCCTGTATCGCTTTTAGTGTGTGACGGTCTGAATACTGCTAAACCAAGCCATACCTTGATATCACGAACGAAACGTCCCTGCGGAAGCCCCTTCTCATAACCACTAATACTCGAGATGGACTCCTGTCCAACGTAGCAGTAGCCCCGGTTGGGGTTTGCCTCAGGAGGGTGCTTGGCGAGCATTTTGTCTTCATGCGGAAGGGCAAAAAACTTGCGAGTCTGGGAAAATCAGCTTTAATCTGGGAGTGCAAAAACACATCTAACTCACCCAGTCGAATAGTTCATGAACGAGCTTGTCTGGAAGACCGTGGTTCTTCAGCTTAACGCCACCGCGAGTCTTGAGGCCATGGAGCAACTCAGCAGAGATCTGCTCCCTTTGCTCGGGTGTACCCTTCAGCAAGGATAGGTCAAGAGTCTCAGACATTGTGACTATAAATGAAAAGTAGAGCTTGTTTTGGAGGATGTTTTTGAGTGATTGATACAGCAATGGTGATCTGGAGAGGGCCATGAGGCCGATTTATAGATCCGTCAGACGGGGAATCCATTGTATCTCAACGCGGGGATTTTGCATCAGGAAGGTGATGTCCAATGCCCCAGGATTTTGATATCATCCCTTTGCCCTTCCCAATCGATCCTCAAACCATCTTCTGATTTCCCGGATAGTCGGAGTGGGTCCGAGATCACTTTCCTCAATCAGTATCTCACCAATCAGAGCCTCCACAGCTGTGGGCCTTGACTACAAATAAGGCAAGTGATCGGGATGACTTGACAATATTTGCTTGTGGCAGTCAGCCCTAGCCAACGAGTTCGTCCATCGATTGCCATGGAGGTCATACAACGAGGGTAACTGGATCCCAAATTAGATGCACGAAGGAGAATTCGGTTCCCAGAATAACCCCAGATAACATGTTTCGTCAATACTTCGGTTTATCGCGCTCTTTATCCAATGATACGCCGTATATGCGGCCACAAACCGTGAGGATAACAGCAAGTAAGTGCCCTCTTACATGGTCACAAGGGATTGACGAACCCCAGCTATTTTGAAAACAAGGTGGTATGTTACGGATCTGTTCAGATTTTTAAGGGTTTTATCCCTTCAAATTGTCTTCCTCGTACTATTGGTTCTTGATATGCCGCAGTGGTGTGCTTTGGCGAGGGTTGATTTTACTCGGGCTTACATTACGAGGTTCCAACTACAGATTGTTAAAGGAAATACGCTATCTATTGTCCGCCTTAATTCTAAGGCCGCGATTTCAGCGTACCTCATTGACGTCACTAAACTGTGCAATGTTAACAGGATGGCCTGTGTTGTGAATTGTGGGCATAAAGTTATGTAGTGGACCCAGTGCACATGCCGGCTAAACACTTAAAAGGCCTTCACACCTTTGGCTTCGAAGATTTAAGCTGGCATGAATATTGATTATTAATGATTGATAAGCTTATCTCCTTAGCCATGGTCATAACTTCATACTCTGTAGCTACTTTAAATAAAGGACATGGGGCTAGTATATCCACTTATACACCGAATTATAGCTAATACATCGTTTTTCGTCTTATGACCTACCGTCGGCGAAAATGTCTACGAAACAAAAGGTATTGCTCCTTGGGGCGACTGGCGCAACTGGGGGTTCTATATTAGATGGGCTACTAGAAGCCAACCAATTTGTATGTTATAACATTCACCCCTCTCATTGACAATGCAATCTCTTGACATAAGGTCACTACTTCTGTTGTTAAACTTGTTCATTACACGTCTAGGATGTTGAGGTTCTTGTACGGCCTAGTTCCGCGGGGAAACCATCTGCTCAGCAAATCAAGAATCGTGGTGTTCCACTGCGTGTATCTGATTTAAATGTCTCGGAACAAGAGCTTGTTTCCACCTTGCAAGGTATTGACATTTTGATCAGTGCCATTGGGCCTCACGACCTCCTGCAGCAAAAGACGTTAGTGAGAGCTGCCAAGTCTGCAGGCATCAAGCGGTTTATTCCTTGTGCATTCATCACAGTTGCCCCACCACAAGGGATAATGTTGCTTCGCGATGAGGTATGTGCCCCTATATAACTGCGAAGAAACAGAATGAACCCCCAATGGCTGTCTAACATATGTGAAACAATGATCAGAAAGAGGTCATATACAATGAGATCAAAAGATTAGAACTACCCTACACTGTCATCGACGTTGGGTATTGGCATCAAATCTCCTTCCCCTGCGTACCATCGGGGCGCGTTGACTACGCAGCTTTGGTGCCAAACACGACTATCCATGGTGACGGCAATGCCCCCAATATACTGACAGACTCCCGTGATATTGGCCGCTTTGTTGCACGGATTATCACCGATGATCGAACGGTGAACAAGTATGTTTACACTTGGGGAGATATTTTGACTGAAAACGAGATCATCGATATCGTTGAGGACCTGTCAGGCGAGAAGGTTGAGAGGCAATATGTACGTATGACCTGGGTTTGAAGAGATATATACTCACTACATCTATTTACAGGAGACGATTGAAGAAAGTGAAACAAGACTGAATGATGCCCAGTCGTCCCTTTCTCTTGATCCGGGGGATCCAGGCAAGCGGACCTTGGTTTATATTACACAGTATACATATAGCAAGTATGTTCGCCAGGATAATCAGCCTCGCTATGCAAAATATCTCGGGTATCTTGATGCGAGAGAGTTGTATCCCGACTTCAAGCCAATCTCTTTTCGTGAATTTTTTGCCGAGGTTCTCAATGGAAAAGGCAAAAGGCCCTATGGTTATTGAAACCATGGACACGTAATTTAGGTGACTGCTTCTTGGTGTATGCTCTTCTTATCGTTATGCTCTTCGCTCGATAATCGCTGCGCAATTAACCCAAAGAGAATGGAGAACTATGCGATGGATTATGCAGGCAATGCAATACACTCATTACACTCTTTATTGAAGCAGAGTTGATATCTGGCTCTTTGCCATTAGCTATCATAGTTAAGTATGGGTATTAATCCATTTTCAATTCTTGAACATGAGCTCCTCTTGCTCAAACGTAAGTATCACGCTCCCTGCCTGCACATATTCACCCTCTTTGGTGAGAAGGCGTACAATCCCGTCTCTCGGTGCAGTGACTTGTGTTTCCATTTTCATCGCCTCCATAATTGCCAGTACATCGCCCTTACGGACACACGCACTGTCAGGGACCTTGAAGGCTCGAAGCGTTCCAGAGACTGGTGCTAGAATGTCTCCGGTATCTTTCTTTAGTTTTTGTTTATTGGCACTAGGTGAAGAGGATGCTACCGACCCGATTCCGCTCAGGAGCAGGCTTGGCAGGCCCACAGATACCAGCTTGCCATCAATCTCCAGATGAGTCCGAATGAGCTCCTGTTCGGGTGCTGGGTCCGGTCGTGGAGCGGGGGCCAGTGTCACCAAGAAATCAGTTTCCACCCAGCGCGTGTGCACATTAAAGCCATTAGTACCCAGGAAATCGTCAGAGTTAAGCGTCTCAGTGTGGAACGGGAGAACTGTCGCTACCCCGGTGATGTGGAATTCTTTCAGCGCACGACGGGCACGACGCAGTGCCTGCTCACGGGTTGCGCCAGAGACGATCAACTTCGCCATTAGGGAGTCGTAAACAGCCGGAATGGTCGACCCTTGAGCGACACCACTGTCTAGACGGATGCCGGGGCCAGAAGGTGGCTGAAAAGTCGTGATCTGGCCAGGGGTTGGTAGGAACCCTCGACCAGGGTCCTCTGCATTGATGCGGAATTCGATGGAATGACCCCGGGGAGGAATGGGAGACGAGATGTTTAGCGGATGTCCCTCGGCAATACGAAGCTGCTCCACGACCAAGTCAAGCCCTGTGGTCTCTTCCGTCACGGGGTGCTCAACCTGAAGTCGGGTATTGACCTCTAGGAAAGAGACGCTGCCATCGGCTCCTAGAAGAAATTCTACAGTGCCAGCACCGGAATAACCAGCCGCAGCACATATTGACTGAGCGGCATTCTGAATCTTCTCTCGCTGCCCGACAATCAAGAATGGAGCTGGAGCTTCCTCGATCAACTTTTGATGTCGTCTTTGTACGGAGCAATCGCGCGTTCCGACCACCACCACGTTACCATGCTTGTCAGCTAGAACCTGAGCCTCGATATGTCGCGGACGGTCGAGATATCGTTCTATGAAACATCCCCCCCGACCAAAGGCCGCCGTTGCCTCCCTGACGGCAGATTCATAACAATCTGCTACCTCATCCATCCTCCAAGCCACCTTCAAACCGCGACCACCACCTCCATGGGCGGCTTTTATCGCAATTGGTAGGCCATGCTGTCTCGCAAATGCTACCACTTCTTTTGCCGTTGACACAGGGCCATCGCTGCCGGCTACCAGCGGCGCACCGACGCGTAGCGCAATGCGTCGCGCCTCAACCTTATCACCAAGTGCCTCAATCACACTTGGATCAGGCCCGATCCAGGTCAGCCCTGCATTCAGGACTGCTTGAGCGAATTCCGCCCGTTCAGATAGAAACCCGTATCCTGGGTGAATGGCATCTGCCCCGGACTGTTTCGCTGCAGCAATAAGCTTATCGATATTGAGGTAGGTATCGGCTGTTTGGAATCCCTTCAGCCCATAGGCTTCATCGGCAAGGCGAACGAAAGGCGAGTCCACGTCCAGGTCTGAGTATACCGCAACTGATCTGACGCCGTAATCGTAACAAGCACGGATAATGCGCACCGCGATCTCTCCGCGATTCGCAATCAATACTTTCTTTATTTCTTTCCTCATTGCTGTATTATTCTATGATTTGATAGAGTTTATTGGAAGAAGGAGCAAACAATAGCACTCGAGTTTCTCAACCATATGCTTCGCCCTTCTTCACCTTCCTCGATGGTTCGTTCATTTAAAACGTGCTTTGCATTTGTGCCTACTGCGAAGATTTCTATGACAAATGATATGTTTGCTGGTCACCGATCATGTCAATCAATGCTCAGAATAGAAAGAGAATGACTTATGCAATGTGGGTCAGATCGCTTTGCGGCTGAATCTCTGACCAGGGCCCAATAGCACGAAACCGCACCATCGTGTTCACCGGGAGCTGGCCAGTGAGATCCAGATGGTATTCAGCAACAGCCCCAATGACCGGGTATCCACCTGTTAGTGGATGATCGGCAAGAAATAGTACGGGTTGACCATTGTGGGTCACCTGAATAGCTCCGTTGACCGTACCCTCACTGGGTAGTTCTGCCTGGTTATCTTTGCGCTCTATCGAAACATTTCCCGACAAGCGAATCCCAGTTCGGCTTGAATCTGCAGTCACTTTCCAGCGCTGTTGAGTGAACGTGTCCAGGCCTTGTTGTGTAAACCAATCTGTGCGAGGGCCAAGCACGACATCTAGAGTCACCACGTCAACTGCAGAGGGTAGAGTAAAAGCTGGGGCTTCGTGGATCGAAACACTTGTGAGTCCCTTCCGTGCGTTCCTCAAGGCCAATACAGATCCAGCGGTGACTGGACTGGGCCCCACAGCAGCCAATGTGTCGGTGCTGACGCTGGCCAAGACTGGAGTGATCTCAAAGCCACCGCGGACGGCCAGGTAGCTTCGCATCCCTGTGCGTGGATGCCCGAATGTCACGACATCCCCCGACTCCAGAGAAATTGGCCGATGAGTCTGTGTTATCTCTGTGGTCCGGCCTTTTGCATCCTCAATCGTGATGGGACAGGGTGCCCCAGTGCAGCCGATCACCGCCTGACTGGAGCTCTCAAAGGAAAAGCCACCGAGCGTAAGTTCCAGGCATCCAGTGCCAGCTGGGTTCCCCACTATGCGATTTGCAGCTCGGAACGCCGATCGATCTAATACACCGGAGCCAGAAACACCTTGGTTCGCTTGACCGGGACGGCCGAGGTCTTGAAAAAGAGCCGGGATTGGCGCCGTCAAAACTTTGAAATGTGGGCTGGCGTGACAGAACGTCTGGCTCAGCGCTGGCTTTCCGTGGCTATTGATAGATCCAGAAGCCGGAGCAGTATCACTTTCAATTGAAGAAGGTGTAGTGTTAACTCCAGCGGTTTCAAGATCATCCACCTGCACAAATTTGACCCGGTAGCCCGGCTGAAGAAGCGGGCTTGGGGTCCGATTTGTGTCCCACATTTTAGCCGACGTCGTGCCAATGAGCTGCCACCCACCTGGGCTGCTCTGTGGATAGATACCGCTAAAGGGCCCCGCCAATGCTACCGAGCCAGCTGGGATGCGGGTCCGTGGAGTCTGATGGCGCGGCACGAAGAGCGCGGGATCGCCGCCATGCAGATAGCTGAAGCCGGGCGCGAAACCGCAAAATGCCACCGTGAACTTGCTCTCCTTGTGGCGACGAATGACCTCTTCCACGCTGAAGCCGGTCAGTTTTGCAATGTTGTCCAGATCCACGCCGTCATAGCAGACGGGGATTTCTATCTGACAGTCCGACTGCGAGCTGATGAGGGAAAGGTCTCGCTGGCGAAGTTCGGTTGCTAACGCCTCCGCGTTTAAGCGTTCGGCATCGAAGTGCACGAGCAGGGTGCGGGCAGCAGGAATCATCTCCTCAACACCATCCACTGGGCAGGACTGCAGTGAGGCATGAAGCGCGCGAGTCTCTTGGAGACCTGGGAGCTCCACGAGGATTGTCGTCAAATTGACGGGAAGGAAGCGCATCATGATAAGGCCAAAGGGAATAGTAATAGTGATCGTGGTGAGTAACTTGGTACATGGTTGACCAAAGTTGTCCACGGTGTATATACTGGATTGTACCTACAGCGTAGGCGAGCACCTGTTGGTTTGGTCCCACTTGGTGGGAACTTGGCTTATTCGCTATCAATAAAGATCAGCGTCCTAAATGTCAGATTTAGAATGGTCGATCTGGGTGGAATACAAAGCAGTGCAGCTTGCTTACTATTTACGCTATGAAGCATTAGAAGAGGTCTATCGGAACGGGACATTTCTCCCTGGTCGATTTGCCTCGCGCTATTCAGCCGGAAATGGTATTATTATCAGCAATGGTAGGAGACTATACGCTGGTGTGTGGGTCGCTTCGAGCGATGAGCCGATAAGTAACAATGCTACGCACTGTCGAGTATACCGAGTGACAATCATATACTTATCGTATACGCCACAAACTTAGAAAGGCAAAGCTGAAAGTATCACATTCTCCTCATTTCAGCCGTACGAACGGCGCGGCTCTTCATGATCAATGTATAAATGATCCTCGAATGCCCCACCGACAGCATTTTCTTCCTGCACTTCCCATAAGTCAAAGTTCGTTATTTCAACCGCCCACTATGTCGAGCTTTTATGTAGGATTCAGCTTACTGAACCCAAACACCTAGGCTCATACTAAGGATACACAGAAGATCAAAGTTGCTGGTCAAACTCCCAGTAGGGAGGATGTCGACGGCTCGATACGTGCCGCAGAAGCGTACGATAACTACAGACAGTATATTCAAGCACGAACTCCGATGACGTGAGGGAGTTCAGAACTAACGATATTCACGTCTATATTGGAACATATATGTGAGGGATCCCCGGGCAAAATCCAGATCTATAACCGCTGGGTCGGACCGCAGTATGGCGGATTGCCTGCTGCTGAGCTCACGTACGTGTCATTTCCCTCGCACTCCGAATCTTTAATTTACTCTGCCTTGGGTTTTCATTTCTTCCCGTTCCTCATAAATGCTCGAGCTCGCATAGCTCACTTTGTGATGAACAGCATTGCCTTCCTTGCACCGCTCAACAATGAACCCGTCGTGCATGCTCGGTTTCAGAAGGTCTGGGATCATCTGAAGAAAACTGCAGAGGTTACTGTTGAAGACCCGAATACTGGTGCAGCAGTTGCTTTGCCGCTTTAATTAAACTATAATTGCATCAGGATAAAGCCATACATGAGATAACTGATCCAGGTCCTCTTTCTAACTACGGGTGTTACCATCTCTTACCGAACATGACTTCCGTATGGCAATAATTAGCCCTAAGCATTCAACGCAAGGTACGCAACGAGCAGCTTCTACAATAACCCCTGGGATATGAAGCTCTCCCAGTCAATTTCATCTACCTCAGGGTGACTTGCATTGTCCATTTTCGGGCCGACAAAGTTCTTGTATGTCTCTTGATTCGGTAGTGGTAGAAGCGGTGGGTCAAAAATAAATCATAAAATAACGTTCCAACCTAGTAGGGATAGCAAATGCGTATAGCGATGTGTAGTAGAGGAAATTACTGGAATCCCATTGGCCCTTTACATGCTTGCAATTGCAATCTCCCGCGATTTCGCAATAGCTGGTCTCATTGGAAATTTGCTTTATACTCTGCAAAGCTTATCCGGCGGTTATTTAGTACATGTAGATCAAATACCGATCTGGCTGCGATGGTCAAAATGGATAGCCCATTATTTCTATCTTTATAGCGCGCTATGTGCCATTGAATTTGTTGGTCCGGAGCAGACGCCACGGGGGCATCAATATAGCTGTTCAACTGTCGCCAATTCTTCGCCAGGCGGCTGTACAGAGTCCTATGGGAAAGATATCATGGCGGGCCTAGGATTTCCTCGCGAGTGTATCTGGCAACCTATTGTGGCCTCTTTCGGCTTTCTTATCTTCTACACTCTGGTGGCTGCTCTGTTACTTCAGCGCCCTCAAATGGGAGCTATCATGACTCCGGACCCCCAGCCGAGCCGCAGGCCTGACATTATTGAAAATACAGAGCTTCAACCTCTAACCTCAACACCACGTGCCCCAGCTGTGGATATCCAGTTAAACAGATATGTACTAACTCTGACTAGGCGAAATTTGAAAGCCTTATGGAGTCCCGGTCATGAACAGCCAATACTCAAACCAATCAACACCACATTCCGACAAGGTGAACTTAGTGTCATTATGGGGCCTTCTGGGAGCGGGAAGACCACCCTAATACACGCTCTCACAGAGCGCCTACCACAGAGGCATCAAAGACAAGGCCAAGTTCTCTACAAGAGCCATCATCTACCCCTTTCCACGGTCAGAACTATGTGCTCCTACGTATCTTAGTTTGACTACTTGTAATCCTCTCTGACTGTCCGAGAAACCTTACTCTTTGCTGCAGGGCTGAGACTCCCTGGATGGATGACAAAGGAGCAAACATGCTCCAAGGTTGACTCCAGTATCCATACAATGGGTTTGACCTCCTGTGCAGGGACTATAGTTGGAGATGATAAACAAAATGGTATTAGTGGTGGTGAGAAGAGACGGGTTTCAATAGGTATTCAGCTCCTGACTGACCCGATGGTTTTGATACTGGATGAACCTACCTCAGGTCTCGACGTATGCATACACAGCCGGATGTATCATGAAGAAGCTAAAGGATCTGTCAGAGGAGGGTTGCACTGTCATCTGCAGTATTCACCAACCACGGTCAGATACTTTCCCTTTTTTTTCGAACATTCTTCTTCTTGCACCTGACGGATCCCCCGTCTTTGCAGGCCCCGGCGAGGATATCTTACACTATTTCCGCAGCCATGGCTTTGAATGTCCAAGTGTAATGAATCCCTGTGACTTCATTATCGATTTAGTTACGGTAGACCATCGAAACCAAGGAGAAACGTCGAGTCGAACTAAGGTGCAGCAGTTGATTGAAAAACATACTGTCGCCCAAGTAAATATCCAAGGGACATACCCAGTACCGATCACCTTGCAAGAGCGAAAGGAAATGACAAAGGATATTAACTCCTTTTCAATATTGCTTCCTTTAGCAATACGCCGCTCAGCTCTTGGTTTGATTAGGCGGCCATTTCATCTGCTATCACGCTTAGTTCAAGCTCCTGAGATGGCAGCTATCTTTATTATGTTCACATCTCCCCTCTAAAACGACAGCAACTCTGTACAAACAAGAATAGGTCTTCTCCAACAGCTTCTAACTCTTCTTGTTGCAGGTTTGCTCTCCCACCCATTGACTTTCCTTTGATATCCCCATCTCGGCTAACTTTCATGGAAACTAGGCCTCCTCCAAAGTATTATAGTATACCCAGGAGAGCGCGACACATTTAAATCTGAACGCAATGACGGATGCATGACCGCAATATGCTTTCTCGTGCAGTATACATGTCTAGAGCTCTTCTCAGCCTTGATCTCAGGTGCGATATTTACGTTCAGCCCGCCAACTCAGAGCACCTTCATGATGTTCCTCATTTCATCGTTCAACATATTCGCAATTATCAACTGCGGTGAGTCCATCGGTATTATACTGCTTTCTCTCTTCGACAATAAAGGTATCAGTCGTACCCTGCCTTTGAATAGTATTATACATGTTAACTGGTTGCTAGGTATCAGCACTACCTTGACTCCGATGGTGTTATATATCAACTGGGTATTTGCGGGCCTTCTTAGTACATCATTACCACGGGTGTTCCAAATTGTGGCTTACATCCTCCCTTCAAAATATGTTATGGCTAATATTATGCCATACGCGATGCATGGCCTGGAATTTACGTGCAATGAACAACATCAGCCAAGCAAACAATGCACTATCCAAAATGGTAAGGATGTCTTGAACTTCTAAAATTTTCGATAAGAACCCTCGTTTGAATATTCTGGCGCTTGCGGTGTGCATGATTGTATATCGGGTTGTTGCGTACATAGTGATTAGATGTCGATAAGATTCTTGATATAGATTTACGATCATCTACATGGGCTACTCTACGCAGTGGAAGTCTGCTCTCAAAGCCTAATTCAGTTGCCACCGCTTTATCATGGTGCTCACTGCACACGCCCTGAGTGTTTCTCCATTGCAAGGGGCTTTATATCCCTCCTCTTCCCTCGAAGATTCCGTGATCCCCACTATTACATCTCTCTGATCTGTTCCTGAACGGGAACTGTAAATACGCTACATTTATGCGCGCTGAGATAAGAGATCACCGCACAAAGAGCATTTATATCCCATAAATTCACCCTCACACGGAAGATTACACGTCTTCACGGGTCTGGTAAGATGGGAAAATCTTACCTGGCGATTCACAAGGCAGGCTCGACTTTATTATAGGAGAAACTATGTCCCGAAAGCACACTGACTCGCGGTTTAACGTCATCGTACAAACTATACCTTGCTTGCCAGGTCAGTGTTAAAATCTGGGAAGTTCAATCATCTATCTAAAATTCCTCGTTCCTATCAATTCCATGCATGCATGCCTTGGTGCTAAGCAGCACATACACGCGGCATATTCCGTTCAATCATTTTGAAATTCAGTAGGCTACTCTGTTCAATATAGTAATATACAAACCGAACGGCCTGGCCTCCCGACTTAATACATATCACCATGTGAGCACCACCCACAACCAAGAACAATATATGTTATCTTTGCGTGCTCTGCCACGAAAATCAAACAATAACTCACGGTCCCTGTCCTAACAGTGACCACATGATTCATTCCATGCTTACAAGGAACTACTTCGATGAGTGCCGTGATTGAATTCTCCACCTCGGAATCCAGACAAGCGTTTGTGGGGCATCGGCGAAATTTTCGGCAACGCAAAGTTGCCAAGCACGATGCCTCTCGTTCTCCGTCCACTAGACTACACTAGACTGAACGAGTACTGGCCAATCTTGCCTCTTCGAATGGCGAGAGTCAGTCGACCCGAGGAAAAATCTGGGGAACGAAGACAGGCTATCTTGTAACCCCGCAAAAACATTCCACGGCTGTTAGCACTTGACCTTCGAACCAAGGAGCATAAGACTCTTTCGTAGGTAAATACGAATTGATACAATAATTAAAAAATAAGAACTGGAAAAAAGAAAACACAAAGAATAAACAGTTCGGCAAGCTAGAACAAACTCAGTAAGGTGCCTGAAGCCAAAACGCAAGCTAGCCGATGATGTGCTCGGAAGGCACAGTGATGCAAAGTTCCCGCCAGACGCTCTATTGGCCATACTGTAGGATAAACGTGTAAGCGTATACTACAACTGCCGTGCCGGCGATGAGTTCCCGACTACGCTCAGGTTAAATTTAAATGGTGCGATACGGTACAATTGTATTGTTGGAGCGTGGTATGTGTGGCATGGCATTTTCTATATAATAACGTCCATGGCTGCCCCTCCCAGGATGGAGGTGGCATTCTTCTCCTCTCTAGGGCTTCGTGTACCCTATCGACTAATTCAGTCTTTGTCTTTTAATACACAGGGAAGAAGCACACAGGAGAAAGGCGATCATTCACAATGGCCGATATCGAAAGGGCCGACAAAGGTCCTAAGCACCCCGCGACTGCGCCTAGCGACGATGACTGCTCGAAGGCATCTATTGCTGTCGGACAGGAGAATCTTTCCGCTGTGACACCGCCCCATGAGTCTTTCGAGGGTTTTCACCGGTTTGATCCTACGGCGTCTTGGACGGAGAAGGAAGAGAGAGCGGTTGTGTGGAAAACCGATCTGTTGCTTCTGACATGGCTCTGTGTCATGGTATGTATTCATTTCATCGATACGATTGGACTTGTCGCAGCTCAGCCCTGACAAGGTGTAGTTCTTTGGCCTGCAACTCGACCGCGGAAATTTGTCCAACGCACTCACAGATAATCTACTCGATGACTTGAACCTCTCGTCGAATGATTACAACAACGTATGCGAACTATGTATACTTCTAATGCTACGAAATTCTACTAACAATGCCCTCCAGGGAACGACAATCCAACTCGTGTGCTTCCTGGCAACTGAATTCCCCGCACAGCTTCTTATCAAACGCTTTGGATTCAGACGCGTGCTGCCGATTATGATGATGCTGTGGTCTCTTGTTTCTTGGACCCAGGCGTGGATGACCGGTCGGGCCAGCTTTTACATCACCCGTGCCTTGATCGGGGCCTTCGAGGGTGGTTTCATTCCTGGTACCATTCTGTTTGCTACATACTTCTACAAAACCAGGGAGTTGAGTGTGCGGCTCGCTTTCTTTTGGTCGACGTTGAACGTAAGTCACGAGTGATCATAGATATCGTCTAACGGATCATCAAAATGCTGACATGTAACAGGTTGCTCGCATTATCTCGTCTTTGCTCGCCGCGGGGATATTAGAGATGCGCGGAGTCCACGGAAAGACAGGCTGGTTTTGGCTCTTTCTGATCGAGGGTCTCTTGACTTTTGTTATTGGACTACTGGTATGGAACAGCATTCCCTGCGCAGGGCGTGGAGTGGTATATGCGAAGACAGAAGCTAATCGGATTGCACATAGAGCATCCTCTACCTTCCAAGCTCCCCAACCAACACGAAGAGTGTACTGGTGCCCAGAGCATGGTACACGGAGCGCCAAGAGGTGATCATGATCAACGTACGTTCCTCCATATATACTATCCTAATCCCCGCGGCGTTGACTAACTGATACGACTGCAGCGCCTGCTCCGGGACGACCCATCGAAAGGTCTCACCAACATCCACGAGCGAGCTACCCTCAATGACGTCCTCCGTGCCTGGAGTGACAAGTCCATGTGGGGTCTATACCTCATTGGCCTTGTCGCCTACATCCCGCAGAATCCAGTGCAAGCATATCTATCACTGACCCTCAAACGGATCGGGTTTTCGACCTTCGACTCCAACATGCTCTCCATTCCATCCGCAGTGCTCCAGATCATCCTCATGCTGGCTCTCTCGAGCAGTAGTGAGTATTTCGGGGAGCGATCTTTCCACTGTCTGTTTGGCGAGTTCTGGACCTTGCCACTACTGGCGGCAATGCTGGCTCTACCCAACGGTGGCCGCGAGTGGGGTCGTTTCACCATCACGACCCTGATCTCTGGATATCCGTACTTTCATCCGATTGTGTCGGCGTGGATTTCCGAGAACACGTTCGACGTGAAGAAGCGAGCCATTACGGCGGCAACGTATAACGTGATTGTACAGGTGGGATCCGTGATCGCGTCGCGTAAGTGCCACCCTACCCAGGACAAATGTTTAGAATAACCAGGCTGATGGAGACCAACACAGAGATCTATCGCGAGGACGACAAGCCGTATTACTTCAGGGGCAATAAGGTGCTCATTGCGATTTGTGCCTTCTCCATGGTAGTCTTCGTGGTGCAGAGGGAGTTCCTCCGTTATCTCAATCGCCAGAAAGAGAAGAAGTGGAATGGGATGTCGCCAGAGGAGAAGGTGGCTTACCAGTCGGACCAGGCTGCTCGAGAAGGCGAAGGAAATCAGCGGCTGGACTTCCGCTTCAAGTATTAGGCTTTGTTGCATGTATTCGTCAGGTAGTAATTTGAGAGTTCGATGTTTTAACAAGGTCAGTTTCAGTAGAGACCAACAAAATCAGTGCCTGTAGCAAAGTTCGGGAAGTCAGCGCCAGGAAAGAGAATATCCTGGGTTGAGGCTCGTAGGATCTGGGACGCTATGTCCTCCGTGATTGCGTTCATCGGCATAAAAGACGACCAGATGGGTGACAAAGGTGCCATTTCCTGTGGTTCAATGACTACGCTACTTGGATCAAACAGGAAATCGGATGTCGTCTCGTTATAGGTAGGTTGAAACAGATTGTTTACATCCGGGTATTGTGGGACTTGGTTCTGTACACCATCCCCTTGACTTGCAAAGGACATATCACAAACTGACGCGTAGGTCAAGTCGTTCGCGTCGGACGGATAAGCAAGTGGGTCTAAACAGGTGGATATTGTAGAATCATGATTGGTCAACTCGGTAATCCGATGCATTTGTTGGCTATCTTCGAATTCCGTGGGGGACGGCCGGCGCTTTCTGCTCCCTGGGTTTCGAAGAGGCGTTGTTAACGAGGGTCCGATGATGACCTGTACCTCTGCCATTTTCTGGTAGAGAACATCGACCAATTTCTTGTTCCCCCACCCCGAAACGTTGACAATATCGCGTGGAGACGTGATAATATATAATTTGGACGACTCTCACCATCCCATTCGGGGGACAATGGCAGCGCAGCGAGATCCGTAATGGCATCGGCCAGGGAATTAGCAATTTCATAAATCTTGAGCTCCATGCCCAAACCATGCGCCTCGACTGCGGAACGAGGTAGCTGCGAGACGATGCTCACTAGCTCCTTGGCGACGTTGAGTGGGAAGCAGAGGGACATGGACCGGTCGGCGGACGGGGGAGACCCCAGATAGCGTTTTGGGGATAGTTTCCATAGAATCATTCGCATCCAGTGCCGAGTGACGCACAAGTCCGCCTTCTGTACGTCTGAGATACGCTCGAAAAGCGTCGATCCGTCCTGCAGATTCCGTTGAAGACCTTCCAGGAAGGGCCAATCGACACGTCCCACACTATTCGTACCTGGCTGTAGCTCCGAGTGTTCATCCTGGATGATATCGAACATCCCTGATTTCTCGAAGATTTGAAAGAGACTGAGGAGCTTGAGGAAGGCGGGGAGAACGTGGGATTCGTCGTTTTCGTCAATTACCGGGGCCGAGATATTGGTTTTCAATGTGACTGGGTACCTGTGCAGAATACAGACACCTCTGTCTAGATCAGCTGCTGCGGAACGACGTCAAAGATGTCTCAATCGACTCACCGTTCTGTGACAAAGAGTAGCCAAAGGACACGCCGACGCAGCTGTTCCTCCTCGAACGACAGAGAATTGTAAGAGGACTCTCGGTGGAGACCCATTATTTGAGCCATGGAAATCGCTTCTCGTAAGTGCAGCAGAGATTCGCTCCCACCGGGCTTTTGGTTTTCATAGTACACATGCAGAAAAAAGGACGTCCGGATACTGTTTAGGTTTACCTGGGACCGATAATGACATGAGTTCCGAGCGCGCAAGCATTCCGCTGCGAACGTCTCGGCTGTGATCGTCTGCTGGGCGCTGGAAGCTTGCTCCAGTCGCAGTTGAGCAATTGTCGCTGCTGCTACTGCAGTCGATAATGCATAGGCCTCATCATCACTGTGACCAGCGTCCTGCTGAAGGACGGACACCATCTCTTCGACGTTGACAATCGGCCAAACCGGGTACATGCGCACGTGGTATATGGAAAGCGGAGACGTCAGGGTATCGAGAGGAATGCGCGAACTATAGTGTGTTAGATCCGAGTGTCGGCAAGGCACATTGCACAAAACAGATGCGACCGACCTTTCCATGTGCGTGGCCGGATGCGCAGGCGTAGTATTCGGGTGAAGCCTCTCAAGCATTGCTTCAGTCGAGCGGTGCGTAGCCTCGCAGTTATTGCTATCGCCACCAACCTGCGCTTGCTCGATCAGGAACTGCGTCGTCGAGCGCAATCGCCTCGGTCCTCGACATTGTTGAACGCGGACATAAGTACATTTGATTTTGGCCTTAACGCAGGACCGGCAAGGTTGACCGCCGCCACAGCGGATCTTTCGAATCTTACAACCGTCGCAGGCACGCTTGGTCACACTTGGTTTGACAGAGGACATCTTGACGATCAGTTCTGCAGTAAATACATCCCGGAATGTCCAAGGCTTAGCTCCAGCCGATAAGATCAACGTAACTCCGAGCCGATAATACGCTGTTACCGCCTTGAGCGAATCCTGGCGATAAGGATGATCCTCTAACCAGCGCAGGGACAGGTCAGATCGGTGTCAATGTGCGACAGCAGGAACCGTTGATGCGGGGAAATTCAGAGTCAGAAAGCAGAATCCATGAGCTAGACCATGAGGACAGGGGCAGCAGTTGCGCGACGGCCTCCACTCCGCACGCCATCGCTCCACTCTTTGACTTTAGGGCTAAAATCGCGCCGGTCCTTAGTTGCAGCTCCCGATTGGGTAGCGTCGTGGCTCTAGCACGTTGGACGGACTTGAGATACTCACCATTGGATCATTCCAGAGACGCCAGTACTGAATAGACAAGGGGCATCCTCGTTTTATCGCAGAATGCCCCTCCGAACATTTCTCCGTTCTCCATCTCGCTGTTTACCCGAGCCCCGCACGGCAGTCTCTTATCGCTTGCCATTCGTCGTTATCAGCACTTGGGGACTGAGTATTTTCCAAAACTGCACAATGCGACCCAACTACTGGTCACGGAGTGAACAACGTGGCGGTCTAAATGAAAGCTCTAGCAATGCCTACTGCCGAGCGATGGCACAGTGCTTATCGCCGGCGCAATAAATTGCAGCACAGCCGCTCTTCAGAGGGTTAACACCTGGAGAAAGACACCTTACACATCGCATTTTCCGCGCATCCACTATTCACAATGGCTTGGCCGAACAAGAATAAAGACATGCTCTACCGTCGGGTGGGCAACTCGGGTCTTCATGTATCTGCGATCGGCCTGGGAGGCTGGTTAACGTGAGTTTTCTCTGCGGCGGGGCGCACACAAAAGATAATATCACTAACATATTTCGCTGTAAAGATTCGGCGGGCACGTTGACGATGGTAAATCCGATCAAGATGAATAGGACCGAAGGGGTGCTAATCGCGCGCAGATATTACATTCAAGTGCATGAAGCAGGCTTACGATTGTGGTGTCAACTTCTTCGACACCGCAGAAAGGTAAACATTCGTTTACATCTGGCAATACGAGTGCACCAACTGACATATAACAGCTACGCCAATGGCCAGTCTGAGATTGTTATGGGAGACGCTATCAAGAAGGGTGGCTGGCAGCGGAGTGACCTGGTGATCAGCACAAAGGTAGACAAGCAAATCTCTGACGTTCTGGCGAGACATTGCTAACTCTCCATGTCTCCTCAGTTAAACTGGGGGATGGCAAATGGCGAGATCCTCATCAATAACCACGGACTGTCCCGGAAACACATCATCGAAGGCACACGCGCATCGCTCCGACGACTGAAACTCGACTATGTCGACATAATCTACGCTCATCGTCCTGATCGGTTAACACCGATGGAGGAGACAGTACGTGCATTCAACTTTGTGATTGACCAGGGCTGGGCCTTCTACTGGGGAACGTCGGAGTGGTCCGCAGACGAAATAACTGAAGCGTGTGGCATTGCCAAGTCCTTGGGCTTGGTCGGTCCCATTGTCGAGCAGCCCCTGTATAATATGCTAGATCGGAAGAAGGTTGAGGGAGAATTTCAACGGTTATACACCCGGTGTGGAATTGGTTTGACCACTTTCTCTCCTCTCAAAATGGGGCTGCTGAGCGGCAAATATAACGACGCAACCACCCAGCCTCCACCGGGTTCGAGGTTTGCGGAGAGCCAGGATAGATTTGCGAACCAAGTGAGGAATGACTGGGAGAATAAGGAATGGGCGGGAACAATTGAAAAGATTGTCAAGTTGAAGGTACGAGTCAACATTCATATTTCCTTTGCTACTTTTGGCTCCCTAGTTTCACTGCGAAAAAAACACAACTAACGAAGCAATCAGAGCTTGGCCGATAAGCTCGGATTTAAGTTATCTCAGCTCGCCCTCGCGTGGTGTCTCAAGAACGAGAACGTGTCCGCAGTGATTACAGGCGCTTCTAGACCTGAGCAGATTGTTGATAATGTAGAAAGCTTGAAGCTGTTGCCGAAGTTGACTCCGGAAATCCTCGCAGAGATTGATGATTTGCTACTGAACCGTCCTGCTGAGGACCCGGCACGCCAGGACTGAGATGGAGTTGTTTTCGTATTTTTGAAAAACAAATAAATGTCAGCGGTTAACGAGTAAATCGAAATCAAATGCTATTCCTAAGTCAAGTACGAACCCAGCGTGTCGAAGCGTCATAGTTGATAGCGTCAGGCAAATATGCTCCTACTAACTTCCGGGCTCCCCGAGCCTTCTTTAGCATGACTTCATGCCGTTGACAAGCGTCGGTGACATTCTTAATAAATAACTCGGAATGCAACTCGGAATGCAACTCGTTGGTCCAAAAGACATCGTATCTGTCGACTGCGTAGCTCTCACATACATGATTATCACAGATACCCGGCTATGGAGTCCACCGCGAGTCGAAACCAGAATCCGCCTAGATAGTCTACAGTTACAGTCAAGTTGGTAGCTAGACAATAGCTGGAATAGGATCTGCGTGGCGTTGGTCGTGCTCCGAGCCCAATATGTTCATTGGGATGTAATGAACCATCGTGAGGCATTGTTAGCCGCTTGCGGAGGGATGGGAAACTTACCAACCAATGCAACACCTAAAAAAGATGTTGTTCGCGTGTCTGGCGAAGTCATTGATGTCAATGACGCAGCTTAATTACCGTGGTTCGGGATGTCATGGACCCACTCCGGATGCTTCTATGGTAGGGCTTGAAAGCTAATCGGTCTCTCGAGATCTATTCAATTGACAAGAGTGGCTGAACGGCGGATATTGTGGACCGCCTATACGTCGATATACACCTAGTAAGCATGTCAACGACGTATTCGCACGATAGTCTGAACACCTAGTAAACTTAACCTCATGGCAGCTGGTTGGCCTAGAACTCGTACTTAAGCGTTTCGATCGCTTCCAATTGAGTATCAGAACCATAGTTTTTATATACTCAACTAAATGAATCACATTGTCATAGCCTTCATACCCGCTATTGTAACCACCTGAGCCACAATGAAGGGGATACCAAGCTCCGCCGAGGCCTCCAGTAGCATACCTGAGCTGTCCCAGTCCTCGCAACGGGCTTATGAGCCCCTTGCTCAGAAGCAACCAGCTCTGGATCGCCCCAGGAAGGCATCGGTACAATCCGTGAACGGCAATCATGGTGGCGTGGTTGAGAGCTTTGGCAAAATTACCGAAGTGGTCAAGGCCGCCCGTCGCCCGTTACCGACAGAGACGGGGGATGGAACCTATATCGAGCCTGAAAAAGGTGGAAGTCTGTGGGGTGATCTGCGGGCCTTGGAAATCAAGGATGGGTATACCCTGAAGGATCTGATTGAAAGTAAAGCCGGTGGCCTTGTGAAGGGCAGTGGCCAGGCGGTAGACGACAAGACGATGCTAATGGAGCGCATCATACAGGTAGCTACAACGTGCAATGCACAAAACCATGCAAGATGCTGATATTCATACCTTTAGCTTGTTGCAAAGTTGCCCTCGGAATCTAGAAACCGTGTCAAACTTACGAACATGTTTCTAGGGGAACTGTGGGACTCGCTGCCTCATCCTCCTCTCTCGTAAGCATTCACTCAGGGACACCTTGACCAAGAGACAGTTGGGTCTGACAGGCTTTAGATATGTCGGCGACAAATATGCTTACCGCTCAGCTGATGGATCCTACAATAACCCTACCTTGCCTTGGCTAGGCGCTGCAAATACGGAATATGCACGGACGATCGAGCCATTGAAGGTCAGACCGGCTAGTTTGCCGGATCCCGGCTTGATCTTTGACAGTTTATTCGCACGAGACACATTCAAGCCTCACCCGAACAATGTATCGAGCGTTTTCTTCACTTGGGCTTCTTTGATTATCCATGGTAAGTGTCCAAACAATTCCTGGGGCATCAGGCACACATTAACCGGCCTCAGATATTTTCCAAACGGGACATCCAGACGAGAACTTCAACAAGACATCGTCATATCTAGATCTTTCCATCCTCTACGGTGACAACCAAGAAGATCAAAATATGATGCGCGAGTTCAAGGATGGCAAGATCAAGCCAGATTGCTTTTCCGAGCCACGCCTACATGCGCTACCGGCAGCCTGCGGCGTTATCCTCGTCATGCTGAACAGGTTCCACAACCATGTAGTCGAGCAGCTTGCTGCTATCAATGAGAATGGTCGATTCACCCCGCCGGCGAAAGATGTCATCGACCCAGCTGAAGCAAGGGCCGCCTGGACAAAGTACGATAATGACCTTTTCCAGACGGGTCGCCTTATCACCTGCGGTCTGTACATCAACATTACTCTGTACGACTATCTACGCACTATCGTGAACCTGAACCGCGATAACACCACCTGGACCCTGGACCCGCGTGCACACATGGAACATGACACAGTTCCCACGGCACTGGGGAACCAGTGTTCGGTAGAATTCAATCTAGCCTATCGATGGCACTCAACAATCAGTCGAAAAGATGAGGCGTGGACGGAACAGGCATATGAGAGAATTGTCGGCAAGCCTGGACACGAAGCCACCGTGCAGGACCTGATGGGAGGCATGAGGAGGATGGCTGGAAACATCCCGAAAGACCCATCCAAGCGCGAGTTCGCTGGGTTGAAGCGACAATCCTCCGGCACGTTCAAGGATGAAGAGTTAGTGGACATCCTGACTATGGCCATTGACGAAGTGTCGGGTTCCTTCGGAGCGCGCAATGTTCCTAAAGTTCTGCGCTCGGTGGAGATCCTAGGCATGGAGCAGGCACGCAGGTGGAATGTTGGTTCACTAAATGAGTTCCGGAAGTTCTTCGATCTGAAACCCTACCAAAGCTTCGAGGAAATCAATTCCGACCCGGAGGTAGCAGACCAGCTACGTCATCTATATGAGCATCCAGATTACGTCGAACTGTATCCAGGAATCGTTGCCGAGGAGGCTAAAGAACCAATGATCCCTGGTGTTGGCATTGCTCCTGGATACACCGTCTCCCGTGCGGTGCTGTCTGACGCAGTGGCGTTGGTTAGGGGTGACCGATTCTACACGGTGAGTGTTTCCATACCATGTGGCATGCAAGGACATACTGACACTCGTACAGAAGGAATATAACTCAAGAAACCTCACTAACTGGGGGTACGCTGAGTCAAACTATGACTTGGAAATCAATCAGGGATGCGTGTTTTATAAACTCGCATTGCGGGCATTCCCACAGTACTTCAAGCAGAACTCGATATACGCCCACTATCCCATGACAATTCCAGGTGAAAATCGCGAGATCATGAGGAGCCTTGGACGAGAAGAAGACTTCTCCTGGGACCGTCCATCGTATACCCCTCCCCGTACAATGCTGTTTGACTACCCGAACGTCCGTCGCATTCTCGAGGATTCTTCGAATTTCCGAGTGGTCTGGGATGAGGCAACCGGGTACGTGTTTGGGAAGGGTGGCTATGACTTTATGCTATCCGGTGACTCGCCGTTCCACTCAAATCAGCGGCGGATTATGAAAGAATCATTGTATCAGTCACAGTGGCATGAGGCTGTCAAAGAGTTCTACCTTGAAATCACCGAGCAGCTGTTGTCGGAAAAATCATGTAGGGTGGGCAACGTCAACCAGGTTGATATGAGTCGCGAGTAAGTCACCTTCACTCGCAAAGCTCAGTCCAGATCTCCATTGCTAACTATGTCTTTTCCGCTTCAGTGTTGGGAATCTCGCCCATGTTCACTTCGCCTCCAACATCTTTTCACTTCCTCTGAAGAGCAAGCAACACCCACACGGAGTCATCACCGAACATCAAATGTTTGATGCCATGTCAATCATATTTACCGCCATCTTCTTCGACATGGATCCCTCCAAGTCATTCCAAATCCGCCACCTCGGTCGCCAAGCAGCAGAGAAACTTGGGCCACTCGTCGAAGCGAACGTGAAAGCTGTGAGCTCGGCCAGTTTCATCTCCTCCCTGATAGACGGTCTCCGCACAAATAAAAATGCGCTTTCCGATTACGGAGTGCATATGATACGAAGACTGCTAGACCACGGTTTGGATGCCTCGGAGGTCACCTGGTCTCAGATCTTGCCCACGGCCGTCGCGATGGTGCCAAATCAAGCCCAAGTGTTTACTCAAATCATCGACTACTACCTCTCCGAGGATGGGAAGAAGCATCTACCCGATATCCAACGACTTGCCAAAGAAGACACGCCCGCGAGTGATGAGATGCTGCTGCGCTATGTCATGGAGGCCATCCGTCTGAACGGGACCTTCGGCTCCTATAGAAAGTCCCACACTAACCTAACAGTCGAGGACCAGGGCCAAACGGTCCAGATCAAGCCAGGAGATATTGTATTCGTTAGCTTTGTAAGTATCCTTCAACCCGTCGCAGCTGGTCGATCAATTACGGCTAACAGCCAATGCAGGTCGAGGCCAACCGCGACCCTAATGTCTTCCCAAATCCCAATGAAGTGCAGCTCAACCGTCCCATGGAATCATATATCCACTATGGTGTTGGTCCCCACACATGTTTGGGTGGCGAAGCAAGTAAAGTTGCTCTGACGGCCATGTTGCGTGTGGTTGGCCGATTGAAGAATCTTCGCCGTGCTCCAGGACCACAGGGAGAGTTGAAAAAGGTCAAACGACCCCATGGCTTCTATACATATATGCGGGCAGATGAGACAAGCTCTATGCTTTCCCTATGAGTAAGTCGATCTGTACATCGGTAAAGGGTCATCTACTAACCGAGAAAACAGCTTGGAAGCTCCACTATGACGGTGCAATTCCGGGCAGGGAGCGTTCTGTCCCGGAACACGTTGTGTGCAATGTTCCCGGACATTGGCATGATTGACACGATATTGACTCGTTACTATCACATGTGTGGCTAGGATAGTGAAGTCTGTGATTAAGTAATATCTAGTAAAGATTGGTAATTCAGTGATCTAAATTGGGACTATGTATGTAAAATGGTATACTTGGTTAGCTTATGAGTCCCATAGGAATTGTAACTGCCTGTCTCTTCATAAGGAAGTCTGAGCTGAGAAGGCTGCCCGTGCACACTGAAGTACGAATATCTATCCAAGGCTCTGTAAGCTAACCTGAAGCTTGTAGAGGTCCTTGGAATTCATATCACAGTTTGGGGCATAGTCCCGCGATTATATCTGCAACATCTTGGGGCGCACTCAGGAAAGGGTGATGCGACGTCTTCAGACGATAGGTCTGTGACGTTCCTAAAATTCCAGCCATATGCTCCTGAATGCCCACTGGGAGCATTTGGTCCTCTTCCCCAAGAATATATGCAGTTGAGATGACCTTCCAGGGCTCGTGAGAGGCCGCACCATGAAAGACCGGCAAGGAGGTATGCGTAAGGGCCGCGGTCCACCGATCGCGTTCGGAAGGTGAGAGGTCATGGAAGGCGCCTTCAGGGCCGATTTTGTTGTAAGCATAATTTCCCTAAAGGTCCTGGAGTTAGTACCATGGATACACCGTGTATGCTCCAAGTTGAGGTACCCACCTCTGCTTTTATCCAGGGCATCAACTGTCCGCCGGAAGCTCCGACAAGACTAACACCCTTTGGTATTATAAAGGCGACCATGTAAATAATCATCAACACACCCCCGCTCTTGCCTTGACTCTGGCGTGTGGGCTTCTCGAGCCCCTCAACTGCCCCGGAGCTTACCAGCCCACCGTATGAGTGAGCAACGACAATAATATCGTTTCCCGAGTCACACAGGTGCTCAAGGGTGCCATGTAGCTGGGCGACGTCGTCCTCCAAAGTTTTAGTAGGGGGCTTAGCACCTGTCGATGGGTGCTGCACGGTAATGGCTTCTAATCCCCTTTCTGAGAGGCAAGAGTGTAGTCCATCGTAAAAGACCGGGGTGCTCCAGGCCCCTGGAACCAAGACAATCTTTGGTGTAGTAGACATCGCATGAAACTTGGGGAACTGTTAATCAGCTGATATATGTCGAAGAATTAGGTCTAGGAAGACACTGGGAAGGTCTTTGGCGCAACATATATAATGCCGGATAGTGCATTGCCCAATGAGTCCCAACATCTCGACCGGAACAAAGAGCGGGCTCTAAAGATGTCAAAAACACCATTCCGCAGTGCGGAAGCTACAACGGGATCCGGTTGATCGGCAAAAGGTGGGCAAGAGCTATAACAGCGGTTGGTACAAATTCCTTCTGCTCGGGGTCTGCTCCGTCTTCGGTGTTTGACAGATCTATCGTGCGAGTCCCGAGAGTTTGTCGGCAACCACTTCGGCTCTTATTATATGGGTTGCAACACCGGAACACACCATCGGATTCGACAAACTCGTCAAAGAAGGAAACAGCCTTTTCTTGATGTTGAATTGCATTGAAAACAAAGTAAAAAGCTAGAAGTATCTCACTGAGTCATGCCCTTGTACGGGTTATCATACTACACCCAAGGCCTTTCCAAGAATCGTACAGGAATGTCTACCTGTCGCGCACGCACAAACTCCCCAAAGCTCTTGGCAAACCCGTCGATAATCGACGAGCTACTGACACCTTCCTGAAGGATACCGTAAGTAACAAAATGTACCGCATGCAGGTGCGGGAGTTCAAAACGCTCGACCCTGTATTCCGGCCGGTAATCATCGCCCAGAAGATTCTTAAAGCACTGGGTAGAGAGGAAGGTCCGTAGCCAAGGCCATTCATCTGCATTACGAACCCAAAGGCCGACATTCGCGTTACCACCCTTATCTCCAGATCGAGCAAGGACGATGGATCCTGTTCGGTGAAAAAAGGAGTGTTAGTCAGAATGGTATACAAACCCGCAATGTGTAAGTCTACTATACCTAGAGGGGCGCGTTTGGTTGGGCCGAACGACTGCAGATCAACAGAATTCGTAGGTTCGTAGGATGGCTGGCCAGCGAATGGTTCAGTTTTCGGGACCGGCTCAACCTCGATAGGCAGTTGCCCTTCGATATGAACCCGTACTTTCAAAGCAGACTGTCGAAAGCGGGCTGGGAAGTACCGGACATAGGGCTTCGGTGCCAGTGTGCGCAGGTCCATGTTCCTTTACATCGTGGTCTTAGCACATGTCACTTTTCGGAAGTGGATCGTTAGATATTAAACCTACGGATGAAAGCCACCATAGCCCTGCATAGCACAAAACATGAATGCTTCCGTGAAGTGACCAATTGCCTCCTTGGTAGGTGCCTGGACGAAGTGGCGAATCATGACTGTCGTCTCCTTTTGCGATTTGGGATCCTCAGGCACACTTCCGTACGCGTCGATAGCAATGGTCGAGAAGCGCGACTGGTCTAGGTAATCTAGGATTTGTTTCCCCTGGAGTTCAACCTTCTCCTTGATGTCGAGCCCAACGGCATACGTGGCCATCTCAGCTTGGTAACCGCCAAAGCTACAAACCGCAAGCTTGGTTGTAGGGGGTGGCGGGCTTCCTTTCACGCCGGTCACACGAACCCTATTTGGGGCATCCTCTTCGATTCGTGTGTCTTCTAAGTGAGCGATAACGTCAGGATTAAGGTAGTTTGGTCCTTGGATCTCGTAGACCAATTGCGCCTTGACGGTGTCCACAGTCACAGCACCATTACTGCCGGGGTGAATAGTGATAACGGAGCTGCCGTCATCATAAATCTCTGCAATAGGATATCCCACCCGGACAAGATTGGGGATGGACTTGAAGCCGCAGAAGTTGCCTCCTGTTGTATACGGGCCACATTCTGTCAAGTGTCCAGCAATCAGACTTCCAGCGAGTCTATCATAGTCCATGTCAGACCATCCGTGCCACCTAATAGAGGTCAATCTTTTGCAACCTCTCCACCGTATACTGAGGGCACTGACCAAGAAGCTAGACCGATTACTGGAGAGGCATCGCAGCACCGACCACAGATCACTATTTGGGCACCCGCACTCAATGCGGCAACGATTCCCTTAGCACCAATGTACGCGTTGGCTGACACAATGCGATTCTCTAGTGCGCTCAGATCTTGGCCGTCGATATCCAGATGAGGGAACTGTTCAGCTTTACCAGCCTCCTGAGCAGCCTGGACATCTGCTGTAACGTTGTCACCGTCAACCCAGGCCACCTTGACGTCACCTAGGCCTTTGCTCTCCAATAGTTCCTTGGTTGCTTTGTATAGGCCGTAGGGGTTGAGGGCTCCTCCGTCGTGGACGATCTTGATTCCCTTTTGGGCGATAACCTCTGCAGCATTCTTGTAGTTAAGATGAGCGAGGAATCCCTTCTCATACCCTAACTCCGGATGCTCTTCCTTCTGTTTTTGTGTCGTTCGGGTTAGAGGCCATGCTCTAGCCAAAGGCAACTGACGATGAAAGAAGACTCACCTCAATCGCTCGCCAGGCAATATTCACTTCAGCCAGATAATCGGCAAACACAGCGTCCAAAGGACCTTCAGTGGCCAAACGGTAAAGTTGATCGGGGCCATCGCCGCCAGCACCAGAGCTAAGGAGTCAACTATCGGCCTAGTGATACATCATAGGGACATTAGCATACCAATTTCCAATACGAATCGCACGCCTTCCTGTCATTGTGGTGACTAGCTGCAGCATATAATGAGAGTTAGATCCGGACTCACTGACCCTCAACGGCAACGCATTAATATAACCTCTTCTTAGCGGAGAGTAGAAACCTCCGACCTATGCTGATAGACCTTGCACAGTGTTTTGCATAAGGGGTATTTCAACAGTTTTCCACTTGTCCGCGACTCCCCCATAAGATTGAACGTCGGACAGATGGGTAATCTGAACTAACTAAGTGGGCGTTTGAGGTGGGATCACTGGTCCTTCGCCAGGCCGAAATCCCTACGACCGAGTATGACCGGCACATGGCCTCACAGAGGCTTGTTCCTTACCTACGTCTATAGTCACTTTGATCTTATCATTCACATTTCTCTCCGCGCCAAGTCCCGGAAGACCCACTTAACCAATATTTCGAAGGGCGGGTGGAGCCCTTACGCAGCGCTATGGTCAGTGCTTATGCATACGCTCCCTGCATAAGGCGTGCCCAGGAATGAGGACATCCTAGCATTATATATCCTTGACCCCTCTCTGAAGAAATGGAAATTTCACATCTAACTCCCAGACAAAAATTACGATGACATACTCAGTCCCTATTGAATCCGCCCAACTTCTGCGCAAGGGGATCTTACAGAACCCTTTGCTCGCATCTAACATTCCCAGCGATGCATCGTCTCTCGCAGACCACGTCACATTCACCGGAAATGCAAGCCCGAACATCCCCATAAACTGGCGTTTTGCTGAAAGTATTTCGGCATTGAAGGGGCTCGAGTCACTTTGGGTCAACGCTTTATTGAAGGCGAAGTATAACCATGGTCCGGTCAAGGTTGAGATTGATACGTGAGTACCGCACTTCGAAAACCTAGTGTTTTCTTTTCTTTTTTTTTTTTTCTGTAATTGGTGCTGTCGCATGCCGTTTCAATAGTTATGGATATGTGGTGTAATTGAGGGCAACCACATGGTGTTTAATATGATGTTAACTAATCCATTTTAGCGACCATGCCACGCTGTTCATAATGTCAACACTTCTTATTGATGTCGTCGACGAGAACGGGAATTCACTGGACCCAAACATATCTCCATTGCAACGTATTCTATCGATATTTCCCAGTCCGGAGAGGGATCTTGGACAAGCCACCCCTCACCGCTCATCCATCACCAATATCTACAAGACGAAAGATGGGCGGTGCTATCACGTCCACGGTAATAATAGTCTCCCAACAGAATGATCCAGGGAACTAGTTGGGGCTAACTGCGAATAGGGAGTATGAATGCCGGCCCCTCCTCGACAGCACTGGGGCTAGACCCTGATCGTGAAGCCTCTTCCACTGCCGATGCAATGAGTGCTATCCAAGAGCGCGTTCAGCAACTCACCGCGGAAGAGCTAGACGAACTTATGAATGAAAAGTACCGTCAGGCTGGGACAATCTGTTACTCCACTGATGAATACAAAGCAAGTGAACACGGCAAGCTAACGCCCATGTCGGTCTCTATGAGCTTAACCACACTCCAAATCAGGCTCAGAAGCCCGGATGGTGGAAGCCAGTCCCAGGTACAGGTGTAGCTCGCCCTCTGGCTGGTCTAAAAGTCCTCGACCTATGTCGCGTGATTGCTGGCCCTAGTATCTCGAAGGGATTGGCCGAGCTTGGCGCGAGTGTGATGCGCGTAACTGGTCCTGGTGTCGTAGATGCATATGCTCTGCATGCCGACTTGAACTGGGGCAAGTGGAATTGTTCGATTGATCTGAAGACGGAGGAGGGGAAGGAGACTCTGCGCAAGCTTATTCTCGAGGCTGATGTTATGCTGGACGGATACCGGCCAGGTGTGATGGAAAAGCTTGGGTTCGGCCGGGATGCTGTGCTTGAGCTTGTCAAGGACCGGCCATTCGGTCTGGTTTATGCTCGTGAGAACTGCTACGGTTGGCATGGTCCTTGGCAACATAGAAGTGGATGGCAGCAAATCAGCGACGCGGTAAATGGTAATCCACCTTGTGAGCAGTGACTTTTATTAATATGATTCTATTAGAACTGTGGTGTCTCCCTCGAATATGGCCGCGCTACGGGACATGATGAAGCCGTTACACCCATCTTCCCAAATTCGGATTACTGGTAGGAAACTCCATTTTCTCAAGTCCCTCCGTCCCGAAGTCTTCTAACGCAGCCTGTAGTACCGGGGTTATGGGCGTCTGTGGAGTCATCAACGCACTGATTGAAAGGGCCGACAAGGGTGGATCTTTCTTCATGGATGTAAGTCACTGACTCCTTTCCATTCTTCGCAACGTCAGTCCTAGGTGCTGTTGCTAACATGGAACAGACGGCCCTGAACTACTACTCCCAGTGGCTGATGAACAGCGTGGGAGTCTATCCCCCGGCTGTCTGGGAGGATGTCTGGCAGCGACACAACCGGCTCGCCTTCCGCCATAACGACAATATGCCGGCCACTATTCCACTTATGATGAAGTCACTCATGCTGAACAGTGGTGCACAGTTGTTTCAGCCACGCTTCTTCGAGACACGGTATTCTGAAGCGGTCGATCGTTACTTCAAGGTACTTCGTCCCGTGCTCAGCTTTGCTGATAAACAGGTGGATCTTCGGTTCAACGTTGGGACAAGAAGCAATGGACATGATGCTGCTCGTTGGCCGGAAGACCTACGGACAGAAATTGTCACCAGCGCGTAGTCTGCACATTTATTTTCAATTAAGACTACGATGGCATTCACGGTTTAGTAAAGATAAAGACCCCGTACAGATAGTGTACCTCATCGTGACATTGGCTTATACACAGTTTATATATGTACGCTCCCCCTGGTACAGTATCTCATTTGAGAGGGCTCTTTGTTGGCTATGGTAGGAAACAGTATGCTTAAACTATATCTATCTACAAGTTCCTTCCTTGGAATCGTCCCTAACAATGCATTGCACCGATATGAGAAAGAAAATGCCTCACCACACAGTGCTAGCATCCGCAGTAGGACGAGCCAAAAGCGGGTAATAAACGTATTGTTCCACTAAAAGCTTTTCTTGTAAATGACACCGCTGAATGCTGTCGTGAACATGCAGTCGAAGCAGGTGCATCTGGGTTCAATTGCATGGTACAATTTGCACCTCTTAGCGGCAGTGTGACCTACTGCTTTTGCTGGTATTTCAAATTCCCTACTTCTTTGTCAAGCGTTCTAAGAGTCTACGAGGATCAGCCCAGAGGATATCAAAAATAAACATTGCGATGGGAGCAACTATTCCAGCAATATAAGCTTGCCAGAGGTAACTCTCTACCTAGGACTGATATCATGATCCGACCGAACAACCACCCCACATGGCTTCAGCTCGCCACTTTCCATTTTCCTAATATTCTCCTCAATGATGTCCTTGTTCTCCTCCTTGTCCTTGTCAATCCGCGCTTTCTCCTCCTCCGTCAGGGGTGGCGGTAATAACGATGGATCTGGCTTCCACCACTGTTCCTGGGGCACTTTCGTTCCATCCGATCCGCGAAACATGTCTTCTATTTCCTGATCAAATACATCCCGATCGAGAAAGGCTTTGATCAGTCGAGGTGGAAGACCGATCGCGTCTATCACGTCGTAATCCCCTGTTAGGCTTCGGAGGACGCCATCGGTACCCAGGACAAAGGCGGCGCTGTCACGGCTGGCCTTTAGATTGCGTATGATATTGGACAATTCTTTTTGGTCCGGGTGATTACTGGGGTCGGGGCCGTAGTGACCGCTGGTAGTCATTCTTTCGTTTTGATTTGGACGATACCTGAGGATCTTGTTTGGAAGTATTTCTGGAGATGGAGATTGTTACGATTGATCATACGAAGGGCTAGTTTCCTATCTATATACAAACGCAACAAGCCACATGACCATATCCAAATGCAGTAAAGCTCCCAGCCTTGGAAGCAAGGAAAACCAAGAACCTGTCGCTGTGAATTAGGATATAACTGATCTGTGACACTGCACGGCGGCGCAGTCACATTGCCATGGAGTCTCATTGCAACTCTCCATGGTTACAGTCTTACAGAGTAGCCGTTAATTTGGTGAATGACCACCATGACTTCATTAGTGGTAGAATAAAGCAAATGAGACTCATCGTATTGCCTACATAACTTCAACTACCCCACCTTGGTGGAACGCAGCTGTATCACATGAGCGAACGAGACACCCAATCCTATACGGCAGTATATATACAACACAGAACGATGCTGCCAGTTACTGTCAAAAGCAAATTCAAAGCTGGGTAAATAGATTAGGCGCCTACTGATTTCGTTCTATTCTTGGACGAATACGGCTCGGGCAGGTGAGTTGCAAGCCAATCCTTCCTCATCGCATCACAGAGCGGCTACGTTACTCATGTATCTCCAAAGTGCTCTTGACGGACCCGTTCCATGCCCAGCTCTTCAGGCATTGGCTGTAAGAACTTGTCAATCTCATGAACCCAAAAGGAGTTTTGTGGGTTGACTTGGTGGGCTGATGTGTACTCCCAGTATGATGGGTACCAGCCCGCTGTTTCCCAATCGATTATTCCAACAATAGTATCTTTATGGATAAGAATATTTAGGCTGCTAAGATCCCCATGAGTGAAGACTGAAGGCCACGTTTTGCCGTGTTGATTGATAAGATCCTGGATATGGGGGTCAAGCCCGGGATCGAACTCCATGCCCATTCGTAAATGCCGATGGAAATCTTGGGCCGTATTGAATAGACCGAATTTTAAGGAACGTCCCGGCACACGACAGTCGAAGAGTGGCCCACCATCAACGGAAGCGACCACGATACCATCCGGAGGCCGAAGCTCTCGCATCTCAGTAACCATTTTCGCCAACTGTGAAAGAAGCTTTGCCTTTGATTCGTCATTTCGGTGAACCCAACCACTGCCAATCATGTCCCCCTTAATCCTTTCCATCACAATATACGTCAATCCTGAATGAGTAAATGCACATAACACTTTTGGCACGGGTATAGACGTATGTCGAGATATAAACCGCATCGTTGATGCTTCAGACAACTCTACATGCTGCCCATATTTTACACATAATTTGTCTGTCAGCATGAGAACATTCCCGTGGCGAGGTCGAACACGCTTCAGAATGTTGACCGCTAACAGTGTGGAGTATCGATACCAAATTCCATTATGAACAGGCTTGGATCCGGCTTGAGAGAAACAGGTGGTGGTTTGGACTGGCTGAGGGCCATTTTGATCGGGCGACATTAAGGGAAGCAAGTCCCTGAAGAAGAAACGTTCTTCTCTGTCTAAATCTGTCTTTTAAAAGAATAGCATCACAAAGAGTAACATCCAGGAAACAATAAACGCGATGGGATGGTCGCTTCTCAGAATAAGCTAGTCCTATTTTGTACATCATGTGAAATTAGAAGGGAATCACATGACATGTAGCAACCGTAACGCGTGGGTGCCTGACTTCTAAGTCCTGTTGGCATTTAGCTCCTATCAAGCGATATCTCGTAGGTATTGAGCCGTTACCTTGGGCCAGAACAGTACAGAAGATCGTAGTCATTGTAGCAGCAGAACTTCAAATACAGAGATGGTGTATACTCTAAACTTGATACGATCTATAGTATTATTTGCTGCCTCGGGCATTGAATCACGTGAGTCTCTGATCGCACAGACTGAGGATTGTCTCATCGTAGCCGGACGTTTTGGTTTCTTATGAGACCCAAGATAAGGAGTTCAGTATATTATATGTCTGGCAAGGGTCTCAGAATATGAGTGACCATAATGTCAAGATATGCGTAATGACGCATGAGCGTGGCCCAATCAGGGTTATGGATATATATTGTGGAGATTGTCTATGCTTGAACCATTCGCGAAGGCTCCGAACAGCAATATACTAATAACCGCTACAACCAAGTCGAACTTAAACCGTCCAAGAAGCCCTGAAACTATAATCACAACCAACCTCGTACCAATGGAATCACCCCAGACTAGCAACACTCTTTCCGCGTCGGAGAGAAAGCGTATGCGAGATCGGAAGGCCCAAAAGGCTGCCAGAGAAAAACGTGAAGTCCGTATCAAAGCTCTGGAGGAACGAGTGACTTATTGCGAAAGATACCATGGGGCTACCTGGGTGCAGCATATGATGGCAGCAATGGAAACTCTGCAGCGCGAGAATCAACTGTTGCGGGAGCGCCAGGAACATCTCCACGCGATATTCTCATCATGGGAGCAGGATGAGCGCACTCGACAGCCAATACGGTCCAACACGCAGGTCGCTAACCAGCAAGTGTCACCATTGCTCAAGGTCTACTCTCACCGCAGTGGTGACGTGATGCCGATACGCTTTCATCCATCGAATGCCTCTCATGCGCCGGATAACCATCTCTCTATCCAACAGCCACTTAATACTGATGGAAATACCACAGACGGAGCGCCCTCACAGGGATTCCCCTCTTCTCACTCAAACCTAGCCAGTCCCCTCCTCGCGGGTGAAACAGTGGCAGGGTCTACCTCAGCATGGTGTCTGACCCCCGTTGATGAGTACGGCCATATATCTCCGCCTCTGCCGGCCACATGTCCCTGGCTGGCCCATCCAGACCAAATCGCCGCTTGCCCACCCCTACCCGCCCCGCTTGACTTGTTACACGGTACCAGACGAAACTTCTTGGCTGACAAAATCAGCCAGGCCCTCCGAGTTCGGGCCATCCGTGATCCGGAACGTTTGGCCTGCGGGTGGCTCGTCTACGTCTTTAGCAAATGGCGAGTCGCTCCAAGTCTCACAACCTTTTCGCGGATCCCGCAATTTCTGCGGCCTATCCTGCTGCAGATCCAACGCGGCCATCCCGCCGCACTAGACCTCCTTGTCTTTCCACAGATCCGGGCCAACCTGATCGAAGACTGGGACAAGTATGACTTTAGAGAGGTATTTGACTATATGTCATGCTGCCAGAAGGTACGGTGGCCCTGGGGCGAAGATATCCTGGAGCGCGACGGCCAAGACAACCTCCGTATCCGAAGGGAGTTTTTTGATGTGTTTACGCGGGAGAGCGGGTGGGGACTGACGCCGGAATTCGTGGAAAAATATCCCGGGTTGTTGAAGGGGATGGATGTCGATGCGGTGTGTTTCCGGGTGGGGTCTCCTGTTGAATTAGAAAACACCAGATTCGCCGGGAAGGAATAAGAAGCATCCTTCGGCTTCACGGCCGAAGATCAAGCTGAAGTCATTGCCAAGAATTGGCTGGCATGCATAATTGGGCCGATCTTTTACTGGGCTGGGTTTGGCGCTGAATCATTGCCGCTTCTTTTGGTAGATCCGATGGCGGTTCTTGCTGACTTAGGGCTAACGCTGAGTCAGTGCCCATCTTCGACTGATGGCCATGCACTGATCAGCGCACCACTGAGTCAGTGGCCAGGACAATCACCTTGTAGATCTCCACCGATATATGCGGGGTGTAGATCTGCACGGTAACTGGATATTTTCATACATGCCTAGAATTGTTCAAGCGAAGGCACCTGTACTATTGATAATATACGCCACACCATAGGGTAATACTTTGTCTTGTCATTCTGTGATATGCGTAATGAGTTGTTTCAAGCTAGCCAAATGACCGAGTCTTGAAATATTTGTTTGTGCTACCAGAGGGGCACGATGCTAATGCATCATCTGTTATGCTTTCTATGTAGGCATAACCAACAGCCGTGATTCATGTCGTACGTAGTCCCATGTGGGAATGGCCCGGAATCATTCCTTTTGTCTTAGATTAGCTTGCTGGCCCATCATATCAAAGTATATAAAGGGTCCATTCGGATGCTCGCAATTGCTAGAAGGACACATTGTTTTAGAAATTTACTGTATACCCAATAGCCTACGCACGATGTTGGGTGATCTTTTGGACAGGCTATTGACCAATAGCTCGGTCACCCTTCTTGTCACGGTGGCAGCGGCGGCAATTGCCCTATATCTATCCCCGTCGAAGTCAAATATGCCACTGGTGAACGATAAGAAGCCATGGGAATTCCGATGGACAACGCCCGCCAGCGCTTCCTGGCCGACGCGCATAATCTCATCAAAACAGGGCTCGCAAAAGTACGTGTTCCGACAGGAACATGACCAGCAACTGACAATGGCCTTTGGCATGGAAATAGGCACCAGCCTTTCGCATTGTGACGGAGAATGGGAAGAGGATTATTCTGAATGCGAAGTATGCCAACGAGATCCGAAGCCACGACGCTCTTAGCTTCGGCCTCCACACGGCGAATGACTTCCACGCTCATATAACGGGGTTCGAGCCGTTCAAACAAGGCACTAACGACGATAAAGTCTTTCAAGATGCCGTGCGGATGAAATTGACGCAGAGCCTTGGTGAGAATGGGAATGTGGCTTGCATCGAGATTGGTATCTGACATTGTATAACAGGAAGTCTCACTCAACCTCTTGTCGACGAAACAGTGATAGCGCTTCAGACAAATTGGACGGATGATACTAGTAAGTGTATTGAAACCACTTCTGCTATGTAAGATAGGGCTAATAGGCTAGCTTGGCATGCCCTCCCTCTGAAATCCAGCATGCTGAAAATCGTCGCACAATTGTCATCAAGGATCTTTTTAGGCGACCAGATATGTCGCGACCCGAACTGGCTCCGCATAACTGTTGACTATACCATCGACTCTTTCAAGGCGGCTGAGGAGCTACGTCTATGGCCGAAGGCTATTCGAGCTATCGTTGCCTGGTTTCTCCCGTCGTGTCGCAAGATCCGGGCCGAATTACAGGAAGCGCAAGACATTATCCGGCCGGTGCTAGACACCAGACGTCAAGAAAAACAGGATGCAATCTCAGCTGGAAAGAAACCGGAACGGTACAACGATGCGATGGAATGGTTGGAGGAATGTGCAAAGGGTCGCTCTTATGAGCCTGCTTTCGGACAGTTGATATTTTCCGTTGCTGCTATTCATACCACATCTGATATGCTGACACAAGTGCTCTATGACCTCTGCGGTCGCGATGAGCTGATCCAAGCTCTGCGCGAAGAAGTGATTACGGTAGTGCAAGAAGAAGGGTGGAAGAAGCCAACGTTATACAAGCTGAAACTTATGGATAGCGTTCTGAAAGAGAGTCAGCGTCTTAAGCCGACCGGCGTGGGTAAGTGTTGTTCGATGTTTGTAATTCAGATCAAGAGAGCTAAACGAAATCGGTAGTCTCTATGCGGCGGGTTGCCGTAACCGACCTCAAGTTGTCCGATGGCACTTATATCCCTAAGGGCTCGTTTCTAGCCGTATCCAGTGAGAGCATGTGGGACCCTGAGATATATCCTAATCCCCTTGAATTCGATGGTTACCGATTCCTCAAGCTGCGCGAAGTTCCTGGGCATGAGACGTCTGCGCAAACCGTGGCTCCGTCACCGGAGCATATGGGGTTCGGGTTTGGGCGTCATGCTTGTCCGGGTCGGTTCTTCGCCGTCAATGAGGTCAAAATTGCCTTGTGCCATATCTTGTTGAAATACGAATTTAAGTTGGCTGATGGGCCAGTGCCCCAGATAAGGCAGAATGGTGTCTCATTATCCGCGGATCCTATGACAAAGCTCATGATCAGCCGGCGACAGGAGGAAATCGCTCTATGATTATAAGGGATATTCAGACTAGGGAGTTTACATTTGATTGGCATAACAAGCGCTTGGTTTAGCTTCATTGATCCCTCAAGTCAGGAAAGCAGGCAAGGTTCACATTGCCCTCACAATGTACATCGTCATGTGTTCTCCATCTTCGCAATGCACCATCCATTACATCGGGACGCAGCGTGGTAACAAGGTTATCTTAATAATAATGCTCTAGGTTGCAGATGTGGCCTTACTGGGGTAAGTGGACATGGAGTTGATAACTTGATATAGCGCAAGGCAAAAGCAATTATTCCTGGGGTTTGGTTTTATATTTCATAAGACAATATAAATTATTGTTGCATATTGGTAGTAGTAGACGGTATATTAAGCTAGTCTACGTCTATGAGACTAGTACTATTTACAGAAGGAGGGTCGATGGTGGGAGCAACAGCAAAAGGGTAGAGAGCCAGCATCAGCCCGACTCGATGGCGACCAGCGTGCTCCATGTGTATGGTATTCTTATGCGATTGGTGCGAAGAAGCTAAACTTGCCCGTTGGATCGTACTTCTGCTTCAAGGCCTGCAGGCGGTCCTGGCGCCACTTCTCACTTCCATACCATTGTTGCGGTGTTTCGTCGCCGTAAGCATAGTTGACATACGCCTGCACGTCTGGCTGCCCACTGGCCTTGTGGAGGATCTGTCGAAGCTCATTGCCTAACTGAGATGCCTTTGTATCAAGCTCTGGACCGGCGGGTGCATACGTGATGAGTGGAGCGGAGAGAATATTCTCGCCTCGAAAGGCGAAAGCACTGGACTTGCTGTCGATTGCTTTTACTCCCTGCGTGGAATACCCTTCGAACATGAATATTGAGTTGTTAAATGGCGAGCTTCCGCGGGCGCCATTTGCGAAGAGCTTATATGCCTCTTTTTGGGCGGGGACGTTGTATTCTTCAAGATAGTTGGGGAACCGTGGGTTGACAAGGCCAGCCTTCTGGCAAGGCGGAGCTGACAGGGAGATGCCAGTCCACCCCGCAAGATCGGTGTAGCTCCCTCCCTTTGACTCTTCAGAGAGTGGACCAATGTCGTGGAACGGCTTTGTGTAAACTGAGTCGACTGCTGTCACACCCTCTTGAATAATGTAGAATAGAATCACCGGCTTGAACACCTAATTAGCTCACGAAAGCTTTTGAGAATTAATGAACTCACATTTTCAGGATCAGCGTCCGGGATATTCAGCCAGTATGACCAATTGATAACACCCTCGGGCTGGGTGCCATTCTTCAGGAGGTAGTCATTAGCGGCTTGATATACGGCCTCCACTTTGTCTCCACTAAATATGAGAGTCTCGATCGCCCAGTCGGAATGAACGACATCATAGAGCTTGGTAGTAACGGAGGTTACGATACCGAAGTTATGGCCAGCACCATTCATCGCCCACCAGAGATCTGACTGGTTATCCAGGACTTTCAAGCTCCCGTCTGCCAGGACGATATTCATAGAAACGAACTGGTCCGCAACGAGACCGTGGTGCCCCTGCAGCCAGCCATGGCCTCCACCGAGTGCAGGTCCCAGAAAGCTGACACATTCGCAAGTACCGCTCACTATCTCCATGTCAATATCCATGGTCACCTCAGCTTGAGTCGCTAGTGTCGACTCACCTGTTTGCTTTCCTGCCGCCCAGAGCGTATCGGTCACTGCCTTCGATCCAGTTCCGCCACCAATCTTCACCGTCTTCCCATCCTCCGCAATGTCGATGGTATTCAGCTGCTCCAGAAAGATTTCAATACCATGGTCCATCTTACCCAGGGTCGTAATTGCACCATGGGCACCATTGTACGCAAGGAAGGGCAGGCCCTTTTCATTCGCATATTTCACCTAAGCCGAGCCAATTAGTATTTTATCCCTTCTTAATATATTTTTATTCAATTGGAGGGCTGTATGGACAAGGCATGAGGTGATGAGGGGAATGAAAAAATAATTTACCGTCTCGACCACATCGTTTTCCGTACCCGGCACGACAACGATGTTTACTTTGGGGGCATCTAAGACTGACCACCGGGTTGATGCCACGTCGAACTCTTCCGAGCCTGGGTAATAGACTTTGGCGGTAGGCGAAAGCTTGATCCCTAGATCATTCACGTCATTCGATCGTGGACAGAGGCCTCGAGTCCAATGGCTAGACACAGGCACGGTCTCACAAACCGAGGCAATCGACCACGCAGCCAAAGCCGCGACCACTTCCATTTTAAGTCGAAGCATGGTGACAGGAAATACTTAAAAATGCCACAAAGCCAAGGGGAGGGAGACAAAAAAATACTCAAGACGCAAGCCAGCTTCCTGCGGTCGCAAAAATGGTTCTGATCGGCCGAGGTGACCAGTCAGAATATGCTCAGTCAGATTTGAATCCCTGGCCGTTCCACGAGAATGCGGGTGACAATGTTATTATTTAATCTATGCACGGAGTCAATTCTGCTAGATCCCTAATCTACGTTCCTGTTCCACTGTTTCAAGCTAAATCACCATTCGTGCCCTAGCATGTGCGTGGCCTGAATCGATGCTTGGCGAATGCTACCTCATCTTTTCTCGCCATGCGAAGATCCACCCAAGCGTGGGAGTTCGTTCTCAACCCCCGTCTTGCTGACCAACTGTCGACGGTGATCCCCTAACTAGCACGTTCAACCACCATCTAACTCACGCTAATGCCTCCACTGCGGGTCTTGGTTAAACTGTTGGCCATAATAATGGAACCTCAATCGGACTCCTTCGGAAGACGAGTAACCTAAACGGCTGAGGCGCAGATAACCTCGTTCGCGCCCAAGTCTGTCTGAAACGGTCGCTTGACTTGTTGGCCAGTTTAGCTAACGTCGAGGCCACTGGTGCGACGATCGCAAAATTGGTCTTGGTCTTATAAGAGCCCCGTGGTTGTGGTGTTGCGCTGGTAGGGCTTTACCATCAATACCCGGCGATGTCGCAAACAAATTGGTGGGGGGAAAGCGAAACCTTATGTACTATAAGAAATACATTACAAGTGACCTATCGCTCTCTGACTTGCGCTCTAGTTGTCGTTTTATCCACAATGCCCTTCTAAATCTGTTGCTTAAGAATGTCCACCGGTATCGCGTTCGACATCGTGACAAGGGGCGCCGGAGAAGAGGCTGCTCAAGCAGCATTCCACAAGTCCACTATTGAGTCATGGACCCTCTATTCGATTGGTGTTGCCGCGACTATTCTCAGGACATATGCCCGAGGAAGCGCCGTGGGCTTGAGGAATCTGCGAGCCGATGATTACCTTATCTGGGTTGGGATTGTTCGTGTCCTGATCGATCACATTCAGCTCACTAGCACACTAACACTGATCGTTGTAGATATTCTACACCGCACAGACGGCTCTTGCATACAGCGTGGGAAATGTTGCCCACGGTCTGGCCAATAATGGTATGACAGATGCCCAACGCGCCGCACTGTCTATCGACGATCCGGAATACAGATTTAGGTATGTCGCATTGACACAACGGTGGAAGTTCTTGTCAGTCGCGACTAAGGCTATTCCGTCATGTAGGGTTATTGGATCCAAGATACAGGTCGCCGGGTGGACTACATATTCGGCCTTGATCTGGTCACTCAAGCTCTCGATGCTGGCATTTTATGTTCGACTTACGGTACAGCCCTCCGACGAGCAATATATCTCGAATAGCACATAACAATCAATAGGACGGTCTTGGACGCCGTTATCGAGTCCCGGTTTATATTGGCTTTGCCCTTGTCATCGGGACTTTTATCGCAAGCATTGTAACAATCTTCGCGGCATGCCGACCCCTTCACAAATACTGGCAGATTAACCCAGACCCTGGAAGAAAGTGCTTCGTCTCCGCTATACCATTGAATCTCCACTAACATACATACGGCTTTTCTAGATATCTGCCAGGCTGCAATCTCCAAGCCGATAGTCTGGGTCTCCTTCGCCGCGAACGTCAGCACCGATCTCTACCTGATAACGATCCCAATTCCAGTCTTATGGAGCACCAAATTGAGATTGGCGAAGAAGATAGCCTCTACAGTTGTACTCAGCGCCGGCGTGTTCGTTCTTGTCTGCGCCACCCTGAAGAGTATCTTTGTCCTGGTGGTAAGTACACCTATCATCCTGATTCGCGCACGCGGGGCTATGCTTCTAACCACGTACAGGACCCCCTCCACGGCGCAGAGCTAAGCGGCGCCTGGGGCACACGTGAGACATTCGTCGCAGTTATGACGACCAACCTACCCATGATATTCCACCTGTTCAAATCCTGGCTCGGACGCGTTTACGGAAGTGCATTCAACTCAACCCCGACGCACAAATACCCTAGTGGATTCCAGAGTATTGGTGGCGGGGGCGGTGACTCGCGGAGTCGGAATCGCCGAAAGCCCTCGAGTGGGTATCCTACATCGGGGACCCTCACATTGACCGAGAGCGAGGAACGAATGGTCGGCGACGTTAAAATGCACAACTTGAAGACATACCCTTCGTCTCCCACTGGAACCATCGCAAGCAGTATTCTAGTCTCGAACCGGATTGAGGTGACCCACGAGGCCAGATAGCGAGTTGGATCCGCGCCGGCTGCATGAGACTTGGTAGGGTCTCTATGGTACGTTCAAATGATCGGGGTCTACGGTACCGTGGTTCATGTTCGGTGATGCTGACAATTCCGTTCCGTTCTATGCTGCCAGGTTCGAAAGCTTAAGATCCAGGAGAGGCAAGATCTACAACGCAACCCGAGGAACTCATGGGCCGTGGACCTTCTTGATACGGCAGTTGGCTGCTTGATGGCTTAGTCTCTCACGTGTTACATGCCTGTAATTATTATACGTCCTCTATCATCACTTTATTCTGTCTTAGACGTCTTTTACTTATTATCTCGACCCCTGAATGCATAGACAACCCGTGGACAATATTTATATCAAAGTGTGGGACCATGTGACACCATCCGTTCTGTGTACAATACGATGGTTTACTTCCTAAATCTAAAGCTAAAGAACCAAGCTTTTCAGTGAAGGTGTTTGACAAGGGGGTCCATATATCTCTTGAACGCCAATCCTACATTTATTTTCTGTCACCGAGCGCGGGAACAATTTACCGTGCGAAGATTCAGCCCGAGAAACCATTTTCGCGGAAGGGCAATCTCGGTTGACCGACTAAGTTTACTGGCGATGACCGAAAGAGATAGTCTCCGAGTAGGCGATTGGGTTTCGGGGATAGCCACTATAAAGGGAAATAGTAACGCGTTCCTTAGTAAAGTTCATATATCCTCTGGGCCTTTGTGAAGGGCTAGAATGAAGTTCTCTTAACAGAAGTTGCGTCATTGAGCTAGTCACAACTGACCCAAAGTATTGGGTGGGCCATATGTCAAGGGATCGACAGTGACCGACGCTTGCCAGTGCCAATGTCTTAGATATCCGTGGCCAGTACTAATGCACTAACATTATTTGGTTTATTATAACTCCGCATATATCCGTACCTATTCCCCAGTTACGACCGTTGGTATAGCTGTAGTGTAGGTGGTCAAATTGGCGAAAATGCTACGGCAAGACAACAAACCAGAGGCTGGCAGCATGTAACATTTTCTCCAGGGCCAATGGTAACAGCCGGAACCCATTATCCTTTCATGTTGTGTGGAAGCACAGGGTTCCCGAATTAAGGGACCAAGGGATTAACTCTGCACAGGATTAGCTTTTGGGCGTGCGGGTACCCACGGAGAACAAGAACAACCGTTGGCTTCGATAGGCGTAGATATACTTTGGCCCAAGCCGTAGCCTGGCTAGAGTTGCATCGCTCGTCACAAAATTTGGTCTCGACCCACTCTGGCACAACTCTATATATAGCCTCGGCCGATGAAGGGCCATTTGCTTTGTAATGCTTATTAACCTAGGTTAATACCAAGCTCAGGAGGCTTAATGCGTATGTAGCTCATCATAATGTATTTCATAGAGCAATATGCACTCTGTGTGCCAGTGGATTGGTAGTGTGCACAATGTACAGTAGGCTTCCCGAGGAGTTGCAACCCGCGAGCGCTCGGAGCCCGGCGAACACATTGGTGCAAAGTCATGGCTCCACCGGAATTTGCATATGTCGATCTTGCACCATGGTTTATATATTTCTTCGAGAAACAAAAATTTTCTTTGCTGTTTTCTAGAATTCTACGGTATGTGCTATAAGGTGGACAAATGAGGCAACCATATATCTGTCCAGAGAGAACAAAAGGGGTTAGAAGGCAGCCATGAACAATCAGGCACCCAGGCCTTGCATTTTAATACCCCTCTAAAACACATTGTGTCAGTGCATATAATAAGCTAGATCTCCATGCGAAGATAAGGAAGGCTCCTGCTTAGCGAACTTTGCCAAACCTAGCCCCGAGCAAAACCTCGAGTAAAGCAAAGCGAATCCATGTTGCTGCTATTGACCATTGAGGTGCAGCCTAGATATGTGAATACCCTACCAAAGCGTGTAATTCTAGTAGCACCAGATCGGGAGCAGACTTATGTAGGAAGGCATATATTAGAAGGAGAATGAGAAGGCTCCCGAGGCAAGGCAAACACAAAAGTGGCAGAGTTGAAACATTCAAAGACATATGATGGCTGGGGCGCACTAATATTGACAGAGATTAGAAGAGCTCGTCGTGTGCGGTTAGTGGGAGCCAACGTGTGTAAGAGACAATCCCTGGGCCCTCACACTCTGATATGGTGTTTTCTTGATCGGGCAGATAGGCACAATGTGCCAGAGGTACGACTGTTAATCTTCTCGAGCCTGACAAATTCATAGACCTTATGTTTACGGCAAAAGAAAATCAAACATTTCTCTGGGATGAGCCATAGAGTCTTTTAGGGTCCATCGAAGTCAGGTTACTGACACTCGGGTGACGTCATGCTTGTCCAACGGTCTGGCATATCAACAGGGCTTGGCCTAATTCTTTCTTGTCTCCTCAAGGGTACAACACTACAAATCTCTGTACAGTGTGTTCATCACCTATAAGTTGACACTCTCGCCTTCCCCATCGAAGATGCCATCGTCAACATCCCCACACCCCGACCCAAGGGACATCGAGCCACATCCTGAGCGACCAAAGAACGTGAATGGCGATGTAGACTACGTGCCTCACCCAGAGAGGTCGATCTCACTTTCGCCTTCACGGGCGGCCATCCAGAAAAGCATCATTGCTCTTTACGGGGGCAGTGCCTCGGAAGACGACATGAAGGTCTATGCCGAGAAGGCCATCTACGACGATCCATTCAGTTACTGCGACACGCGGTATTGGTTGAAACCCTGACTCTCAGGCAGCATTCACTGACAAGGCGTAGATACAAGATAGCAGGCCAGTGGTATGGTATCCCAAAACTGTTTTCTAAGTCTGAGACACTGGCTACGGAAGTCACGTCGTCGACGGAGCACGAACTTGTCTGGAAGCAGCGGCAGAAGTACACTTTTGCTGGTATTCATGCCTCCAAAGTTGCAGACAGTCTTATCAGCCTTAGGCTTGAAGGCGAAGAGCCTAATGAGAAGGTTGTGTATCATAAGGATATGTGGAATGCCAAGGACTACTCTCATGAAGGGCTTGGTATGCTCATTAAGAAGCTGAACGGGTAATCCAATTCGACTTTCTTTTACTCTCTTGTTCTTTCTGTGATTAAAGATGTTGACTGCATATAGGGACACATTGACAAACATCACCAAGCCGCCAGAATCGACCTAAGAGCGGAAGCTGATGTCTTGACGATTGAACATTGGAAATATTTAATAATCTAATAAGCACAAATTTCATCGCGGTTTGCCAGATAGCTGCATCGCCTGTTCGGATGCCTGTCCTTTACCTTGGACTGAGGGGGATGAAAGAGATGTGGCGCTGTGTCTTCTTTTCAAGTGTAATCAATCCATCTATCTTATTTCTACGCAAAAAGAGCGTCCATGTGAAGGACTAAGCTGTTGCTAAGAGTTTTATTGACGACTGGAAGAATGCGAAATGCGAGTTGGCTTGTATACCAAGAAATAGTAGTTTGGTCTTTAACTATGAGGAAGCCCACTAGACGTATGTCAAATACAAGGTGTAAAGGATGTGAGAGCTGTCTAAAGTGTCCGCTCGTTGCAAGCTATAGCTATCATCATATGCTTGCGTTTTACGTCCGTGCGAACTCTTTCACCAATCTTCAAGACTTATAAGCACGGACGCGCCAGCTGCCTGCAGAAAACAGAAGTGATAGACCTGTGATTTAGCAAACCCGTCATAATAGAGGAGTAAATATACAACTACACGGTCTAGTGAATCGCCGATGGCGAGCATACCCTCCTCGTGTAGATATCTTCGAACAGCCAGAATCGGCGGACGCTCTTTCCGTTTACATGTATGATATGAGTTGAAGCGTTGATTTAGTGCGGGGAATGACATTCGGGCAGCATGGCAACCAGGACGACAACATGATAGCTCTACACTAAGTAACTGACACCATTTGACTTCGTCAAGACTCACTGGTGACGGAGTTTTGCTCGGAGAGCGAGAAGGCCGATGTCCCCGAACGAAACGCAGCCAAGCCGTGAAAGATCCTATCAAGAAGATGGCACATCGTCATCTGCATCACTGCCCAATCGGATTCACGGTAGAGCGTTGTCCGGACCTATGTTTGATTAAGAATGCGGAGCCTTATATCGTCAAGTATAGCATGATCCTTCTCTGTGGGTATGTGACAGCACTGTGAAACCTAGGACCCCTTGCTAGATAACATAACATTTCGTTCTATAACATTCCGATCAATGAAGTACCCAGCGCTAAATAATGTCATACTATAGAAGAATATTCATGATCCACACGGTTGGCCAAACAAATCGTCGGTAGAGTCTACTCCGTCCCCACTGATTTTCTGCCGTGCCGTAAAGGGCGATCATACTCGGCCCGACAACCTCGAACAGAATCACGATGTAAACAGTATCGAGTATATGTTTCTTTAAATTCCTGGCTATGAGAGAGGGAAGATGCATTTCTTACCATCAAATCTCCATTTGGAAAACCAATTTACTATTCTTCGTTGAATCTCAATAATATTCCTCTAAACTATCAAGATGGGTGCTACTTTCATAGACATCGACCCTCGCACTCCACTGGTCAAGCAGCTCGAGGAACATCCCGAAGCCGGCTCCTGCGTGCTAGTCAACACTTTTCACATTCCGGCCGGTAAGATGGACGAGGCCTTCGCTGCTTGGAAGATAGATGCCGACCTGGCCAAGAAGCAGCCTGGCTTTATCTCAACCCAACTTCACCGCGGCGTCAACGGTAGCGACACGATGCTCAACTACGCTATTTGGGAGTCAACGGCGGCGCTAAAGTCATACTACGACCTTCCGGAGTTTCAAGCCTCCCTGAATACCTACCCTGATGGAACTGAATGCCGCATTGGTCTCTATCGCAAGCAGCACATCGACGGTGTCTGCCTTGCCTAAATCGACAGACAAGGAGGTCCCCAGCGCCTGGCGAGGCTTATTGTGTTGGATTTCTCATTTCACTATCTTTAAATATCTCAAGGGCTGTTGGTCGAAGCCTACACTAGGTCTAGGATTAACGATGTTATTTGACAATGTACTTGTAAATTAGATCAGGTCGTGTTGAATAAGGAAACAACCTATTAGAGTATTCTAAAGTCCCGGTCCATTCAATATATTTTTCTTCGGTAGTTTGTAATGCGACTCTCTTTAAAATGCTGCTTTCACTTTAGGAGGCCCACTCTGGTCCGTATTTTAACTCAGTTCATACATAAAGCGAGGTGCACCGGTTGATGATATTGACTCCCACTAAGGAGCCATAGAGGAAGAAGATGAAGTCATACATACCTGCATCAGTGCATCTAGAGCGGCTGAACCACATGTAGGACTGACCGACATGAGTTTGAGATCAGGTTGCGCTTCGGACTCGGACGGGAGCAACGCCAGCGCGACGGTGGGATGGCTGGATAGCCGATGCGAACCACTCCGGACGACTGTCAACCGACGATTTCATTGGTTGGAGGCAAGTTGACAACCTCATTTGACGATGTTTTTATTTGTAATGATTCATGGCCCCGAATTCATTTTCTCAAAAGCCAGTGTATTTAAATTGTCTCTGACACGCAGAGGCATGGCGGCTTTTGGTCCATTCGTTGTCTTATAAAGTCACTCGACACCATATCCCTTTGATACTCGGATATTTACATTTTTCCTAAACAATATGACCTTCACTGTCGGCATCGCAGGCATCACAGGCAAGTTTGCGCGACTTGTAGTCAAGCATTTGCTGCAGACCCACGGAGAAGTCCACATTCGGGGCTTTTGCCGCAATGCCTCCAAGTTACCCGACCACTTTCGCGCGTCCGACCGCATTGCCACGATTCAAGGTGACGCCATGAGCTTGGTGGACGCTCGAGCGTTCGTGCGCGGGTGCCATGTTGTTGTCTGCTGCTATTTAGGCGACAATCAGTTCATGACAGATGGGCAGAAGGTGCTCGTGGATGCGTGCGAGCTCGAGGGGGTCACGCGCTATCTGGCGAGTGACTACTGCCTCGACTTCACGAAGTTGGGACTCGGCCAGCATCCAGCTAAGGATCCGATGAAGCTCGTCAAGGCGCATCTGGACTCCAAGCCCACTGTTCAGGGGGTTCATGTGCTGATCGGGGCGTTTATGGAGACCTTCTGGAGCGGGTACTTCGGTGTCTTTGATCCGCCGGAGATAACCTTCTCATACTGGGGAGACGGCGATGAGGTTTGGGAGTCGACTACCTATGACACTGCGGCTGCGTTCGTGGCGGCTGTTGCGACGGACCCGAATGCCGTCGGCATGCAACACTGTGAGTTCTGCGCGAGGCTATAGACATCACCTGTCCGTATTTTCAGATGCTAATTCATCATAGTTCTGGGTGACAGAAAGAACATCCACCAGATTGCTGATGACTTTGCTGAAGTCTATGGCAAGAGACCACGGCTAGTGCGACTCGGGTCCAAGGAGGATCTGTATCACCGAATGCACTCAATCTATGATAAGGATCCTTCGGATATTTATGCATACCTAGCCTTGTATGTTTCTACTTCTTGACTGTGGTTTGAGGTTTGAATGCTGACGATGCAATTCAGATTCTACCAGTATTACTGTATCAATGGACAGACATATCTCAAACCGGAGTTGGATAATTGCAAGTATCCAGCGGTGCAGTCAATAACTTTCATGCAGTTCATGCAGTCCCACATGATCGAGGAGTTGAGTGGATCATACCAGAATGCGGGATCGAATGTGTAGAGGAACCTGGGGTGTAATAACTTTGTACTGGGCAAGACAATGTGAAACATTGCTTCTCTTCCACTGAGTTAGGGCGATACATATCTCTGCGAATGATGAATTAAAAAGAAAAAAAAAGAAAGAAAACAGACAACGCAAGGGCATCTCGGCAGGTTAAGACGCTAGGTCAGCCAATATGGCGAACCTGGTAATCGGACTGAGGCCTTTCGAACAAGCTGTGGATTAATCGTCATGTTGGAATATAAGCATCTATCCTATGGCATACCGTTTATCCATTCCGAGAAGGCCAAGTGGGATGTAGGCCCCGCGATGGTGGGTCCTAACAATCTGAGCTCACTATTACCAAATATGCCCGTCGGCGCAGGCTTGAGGTCACTGGGCTGCAGCGGCTCTGAGATGCCATTCTCGCTCTCGTCAATAACTGTAAAAGAGGACGGAGTAATCTGGTTGAGAATGGTAAGAAAATGAGTTGCCAAGGCGTCATGCTGAGTTGAAACGAAGGACAGCGTTTGCTTGGCCTCGTTAATGTCTTGAAGCCATGTTATAGACTCGGGGACAGACTGATCAGCCTTCAGATGGATAATAGGAACGAGGACGGCGTGCAGAAGAGCATATCTGAGGTGACCGAGATAATGTCAGTGAACCTTTTGTCAGCGGTCAGGATCAAGGGGGGTTGGCACAAACAGGATAAATGGCAGAGTAACATTGGAATACTGATGCTCTTGAATCAGCCGTGAAGTGAGCTTTATGGTACCACGAGCCAGGTTTAGGCCACTAGTGCGGCATTGTCGCTCGCTTGGTTCCTCCCCCAGGATAGCCTGGCCACGAGATATCTGCTTTCTTCTCAGCCAGTCCAGAAGTGCTGGGCGATGAATGAGAAGTCGGAGGCTCCGATCACACAGCATTTGCCGATCGCGTGCATACCGAGCCCAGACAGGCAGTTCATCCACCTTGGAATGTTGCGTGCAGAGGGTGAGGTTGTTATGCCAATGGTTAATCATTTGTTCGTATGTATTCATATCAAAGAGGGTTATTTGATCGGTAGACAGTATCCGGTTGTTAATGCTGTTTGCCATCCGGTGATAGCTAGATTGTAAAATCAATCCGGTATATATTGTCCAATTGTCCCGCTCGTTTGGATGGAGCCGACTTGCCTCTGTCAGGTCCTTGATAGGATGTTAGCAGCAGCAGTAATTATTCTTTTATTAAGGGGGATAGAATGAATACCTCATCAGCTATATTCGACACAGGATTGACAGTAATCAGTTTGTCCTCCGGCAGCAGAATGGGTAGACCATGGATCTTGGATGAGCAACTATCAAAGCAATACACGCTCCACCAAACCCGTCGCCACATCTCTTTAACCAAGGGGGAAATATCATCACGAGAATATGTTAACTCTTGGTAAAGCCCCGAGCCGATCGACATCCGTGTTGCAAGGC